TAGCGATCATATGTTTGTAATGAATAGCTTAATCATATAGTGAATTAGTACATACCACTGAGGTTAGCTGCATTACAGTTGAGAGTTTTTCATCCAGTTCATCAATTTCTCCAACTGCAGTAAGCTTTACCAAAGTGAATATGTTAAATGGTTTAGTACCCTCTACTGGTAAGATATGACTGTTATATATCTTCATAACGCTTTCATAAACTTTCTTGGAATCTTTAATGCGTGGAAATAAAAGTGGTGTCGGCATTGTAGATGAACAAAGGGACATAATCAGCATCAATTTTGTTCGGATCATTTTATCATCTGTAAAATCTGAAAAGCAGAGTAAATTGAAAGATAGTTGGTTTGTTTAGTTTCAAATTAATAAATTCTTCCTTTGACTAAACAGATTAAGCCATTAGCTGAGTCATAATATATTATTTTCAACGTTACAAAATATGTTGTTATTTTCAACGTTAAAGATTAGGTTGGAATGTGATAATTCAAAAAGTAGGAAAGGAAAATAAAACATTTAAAACGCTTACCCTTTATCGTCTTTATATCATTCCAAAGAAATCATCAAAATTTCATAATAAAATACTACGATGAAGAAAAGAAATTTCACCACAATTGTAAATATACTCTATAAAACCTGCGGACTCTTATTTCAGATAAACTATGTCACACAGCAGAGGCTCTACTTTGGGTCTACATCGTATTTTTAAACATATAACTTTACTGAACAACGACCTTTCAAAGTCATATTATACCAAACTCGTGTCAGATATATCGCAATGTCACTTCGCATTGTCGAGTGTCGTATTGCATTGTCGCTATGATATTTCGTATTGTCGCGATGTCACTTCGTATTGTCGCGATGTCACTTCGCGTTGTACTATGTCGACCCTGCAAATGCGACGGCGACATTATCAATCAGTCTATGTTATCAGTCAGTCAGTCAGTCAGTAGGAAAATATCCGACAATTATCAGTATAACTAGTTAAAATTTTAGTTAATAGATAATAGAAAAGAAACGCAATTAAAAAGTTCCAAACCATGCGATAATTAACATTTAGAGTATATTCATAATGGTTGAGGAATATTGTAAGCGTCTTATTGTCAAGTATCTGTATGTGTACGTCAAAATTTAACAGTTTTAAAAATGTCACTAACGTGATTCCGTACTAAAGAGATTTACAACAAATTAATAGTTAATAAATATGATATACCTGCGATAATATGGTTGTCAGTATAGACTCTTATAAATTGATAAATTGGCATCTCGTATGAAAATATTTATGGTAAATATAAGTATTCAAGTGTATCATACATGTGTTCATATTTGTGTTCACATCTAATGCATACTATATGCCTGATGACTGAATAAAATCTTGAAAATCTTGTAACAAGTTGTTTTCTTGTATTCTTTTTGTTTAGAAAAAGTTTCAAATGTGGAAAATTGCATGGTTCAGACCCTGTTCCGACTTTCCTATAATATTAATGGTGTATAATTTTATGTAGTTTTGAAGTCTAATCATAAATGACTTGATAAATGAACGGTTTTCTAAATAAAACTTTGATTATTTATTCATCAATAAAATATCACTGTTGGATTTTATCAAAGCCATAAAAAATACACATGCCTGCTTTCTTTGAAATTTTGAACATCTCTAGAAGAATTAATTAAATAAACCACAACAAAGGGAAGTAACTTCGACCGTGCATAATTTGGTTTTAGTCTTATAAGAGTTAACAGCAGTGAAAATCATCGTAACCATAGATACATGTAGTCGTATTATTGTAAAAATACTAAAATAGGTAAACAAAAAACATGTTTAATGCTATGTTTGATTTTTATATCTCTAATATTTCAAGACGAGCTCCAAGGTAAAATGATTCTGTGACGATGCTGCCTTTAACCTTGTGAGAGTTATGCTAATACCATATGTCTTGTCATGATTCTGAAACATTTTTTTATCAATTCAAATATATTTCACATCATAACACTAAAGATAACATCAAGCAGTAAAGACTTTGGAAACGTGTACCACGAGATGCACGGGAGTGTACTACATGATTTACGGAAGTTACTGTACGATGTAAAAAAATAAGAAAGTGTACTGTACGATGCATGGAAGTATACTGTACGATGCACGTAAATGTATTATACGATGAACGGAAGTGAACTATACTATGACTATGTGCGGATTCGAAGTGAACTGTATGATGTACGGAAGCGAACTATTCGATGTACGAAGTGTTACGATGTATAGAAGTGAACTATACGAGGTACAGAAGTGTACTGTACGATGTAGGAATGTGTACTATACGATGTACTGTACGATGTAGGGAAGGAAATGTATAATACGATGTCGGGAAGTGTACTATACAATTTACAGAAGTGTACTAAACGATGGAGGGATGTGTACTATACGAGGTACAGAAATATACTGTACGATGTACGGAATTGAACTATACGATGTACGGAATTGAACTTTACGATGTGCGGAAGTTTACTGTGTGATTTACTGATGTGCACTACAAGATGTAAAGAAGTGTACTTCAAGATGTACGGACGTGTATTACGTGTAAGGGTGTACAAAAGTGTACTACAAGATATACGATATATACATGTACATGTACTTCCAGATATACAGTAGTGTGTAGACTAACCTGGTTCTATATTGCTTTCTTTATTATTCTGGTTAATCGGAAATATCCTCGGATATCAAAGTGATTTAACATAAAACTATATCTACTTAGTTTACGTATCTTGGTGAGTAAAATAAAACAACACAAAAACAGAAATCTATCAAAATTTATATCTGTTTATTTTAAATTCCAAAAGAAAATGTACAAGATACTTTCATACCAAAGGATTGTGAACCAATCAAACTTCTTTTCTCCAAAACAATGTTTATTATCAATGATTATCAAAAGTCGAACAACAAAAACATTGTACATATATATTAAACAATATGGTAAATCAAACTATATCGTCCTTTAAACTTAGTTTACAATAGCATTTCCTTTTCTTTTTATTTCATTACATCGAACTTGTTAACCATTTTTAGAACATTAAATTCCAAAACCACAATATGAATGATGACGTGTTACTTCTAATAGTATAATTTAGAGCCGTTGTCTGTCAGTAAAAGTCATGGCAAAAAGTGATAAATGTACCCACAACCTCTGATATAAGAAATGAATTTTCATTATCAAAAATCTCGTATTTTTCTCGATAACTATGTCAACGTCAAGAAGCCCCATTACACTACACATTCTTCATTGTATTTGTTTTCAGCTTAAATTTACAAGCACTTTAGAAGCGACTTTTATTTCTTAGGCGTGTATTTGAAACAGCAAATTTGTGTGTTTTTTTTTAAATTTGTTTACGCCTTTTTGTAAATGAAAAACTTCTCTTCAATCTGTTTCTGTTTTAAAGATTAGATAAGAAATGATGCCTAAAATATGTTTGTAATGACAGCAATTGGATTTCAGATATCATTCTTCTTTTTCGTTATCTTTTTTTAAAAAAATAACATAATGTTTTAACAATAACATAAACAGTCTATGTCAATAACTTTAAAGTTTAATAAATATTTTTTTGTAAAATGGTTAAAGATTTCAACTCGTCAAAATGTAAAAAAAAACAACAATTGACGGCCCTATGTGCAAAGATTATGAGGGGAAAAAAATAAAACCAAAGAAAATATTTGACTTTTTAACAACTTCACAACCAAATCTAGAATTATCCTTTTCCCTTTTATGCTGTTTGGGACATCTTATCAGCTGACTTCATGTTTGGAGATTCTGTCGGTTTACTGATGTATCTTTGCTGGTGCTCGAAGAATCGTTTTGTTTCACCACACACAGCGTTGGTGCACATTGGACATCGAAGAACATTCTGTGCTGAACAAGATCGTCCCGAATCTAAGTGATCCTTTACAATATTAGCTAAAGCCTGGTAAAATAATACAAGAGAGATAAAAGTCAAAGTGTCAGTATCTTAACAAGTACATATTTAATCAATTAAAATCATGATTAACATGTAATATTCTATAATCATTTTCAAATTTAACAGTTAACTACAAAACAATAGAGAGGTACATTTGTATAAAAATAATTTTTGTATACTACTCAAAAACAAACATTTCTTGAGAAAATTTATTACTTTTCTTAATTCATTTTTTTTTATGAACTGATTCATAGAGCAAAGAATTAAAGATTTTTTCAGATAAATGAATAAACCAGATCACCATACAGTTGGTACAATATGTAACTTTTGTTGAGGAAACAAAAAATAACATTTGACTGGGGAAGAACCACCCATGAAATCTACATTATTTAACTTGTTGTAATAATATAAATAATCATCATCTTGTCATAGAAACTACAGTAACCTTCTATAAAGACCACTAAATAGACTAAGGTGGTCTTAATTGCAGGGTGGTCTCACTTGTGGATATTCTTAACATTGCTTATATATGTTATGACCATGGTCAGTTTTAGTTATCTGGTATGAACAAACAATATGTATCTTAACTTTCAAATACAATGTACTTCTATAAACGTATGTTATAATATTTAATCTGATGACAGCAAAACATATTTCTGAAGAAATTTACATGTTAATCATTACAGACAGAAAATCAATAGAATAATAAACAAACACTTACATTGATGAAGATAGGATTTCCATTGGGAGCCCCTGATCTGCGGATATTAGCACCAAGCTGCAATATCAAATAACACAGTTACATGCAATTGTTTAATTAAATATTTTCAAAATAATTGTGATGATGGTAATTGTACCTTTTACTTAATGATAGTGGTAATTGTACCTTTTACTTTGTGATAGTGGGAATTGTACCTTTTACTTTGTGATAGTGGGAATCATGTCTTTTACTTAATGATAGTGGTAATTGTACCTTTTACTTAATGATAGTGGTAATTGTACCTTTTACTTAATGATAGTGGTAATTGTACCTTTTACTTAATGATAGTGGTAATTGTACCTTTTACTTCATGATAGTGGTAATTGTACCTTTTACTTTATGATAGTGGGAATCATGTCTTTTACTTAATGATAGTGGTAATTGTGTCTTTTACTTTGTGATAGTGGTAATTGTGTCTTTTACTTAGTGATAGTGGTAATTGTGTCTTTTACTTAATGATAGTGGTAATTGCATCTTTTACTTTGTGATAGTGGGAATTATGTCTTTTACTTAGTGATAGCAGTAATTATGTCTTTACTTAATGATAGTGGTAATTGCATCTTTTACTTTGTGATAGTGGGAATTATGTCTTTTACTTAGTGATAGTGGTAATTATGTCTTTTACTTAATGATAGTGGTAATTGTGTCTTTTACTTTGTGATAGTGGTAATTATGTCTTTTACTTTGTGATAGTGGTATGTTCAACCCTTGTCTATTATATAATTCTACAACTTGGTTTAAATTTAATACCACACCAACACTATAAGAGTATTTAGGTAATATTGCAACTTTCCAGCATTGCATGTGGAGGAATATTTGATGCAACACAGTTCTGTATCTTACTTCAACTACCAGTGAGTCCTAAGTAGAACCATCATCCTTCCATAATTAACCTAGCTGTCTGGATTTCTCACTCAGGAAATGTTGTATAAAGGTGAAGCCATGTTTCTTTATATAACACTTGTACTGTATAGTTCTAGGAAACAGTCTCAAAAGTGGTTGGAAAGATGCTAAAAGCTTCCTTCACAATCAAGTTTAAATAAACAATGTTTACAATACAAGAAAGTATAACCAGTATACAATACCTCCTCCCCTAGACCTTTTGCGTATTCTAGATCCAGTTCAAACAATGTCTCTATATGGTCACTTGTAAATGCTATTGGCACCAAGATGATGTTCTTCTTATCCCTAGCAACCAAACCTTTGATGGCATCATCTGTCTGTGGTGATAACCATGGCAACGGGCCTACCTGTAAATATTATATCAATGCCATGACTGTAACTATTATATTAATGGCTTTTATGATTATTTCAAAAATATTTTTTTTCTTAAAATCTATAATTATGATCATGGATTAAGGACCAACACTGTAATTGTTATACGACAACTTTCTAGCTTTACTGGTTAAGGAAGACCTCGGTTACCTCTTTGTGCATCGATTCAGGCACGAAAAAGGGCACCTGAGTAGACCCACCAACGTTCTGTAAGCTAGCTGGAAAGATTCCTCACATGAAAGAATCTACAATCCCTGGCAAGATTTAAACCTACAGCGTTGAGGAGCATGTGGTATGAACCATACCAAATGGGGTTACATTGATCTACTGGTATATGACAAGATATAAGAATTAATGTGAAGGAGGAATCAAGATAAGTACCTTTGATTGCCAGACTAGCCGGTATGGATGTGAGTTACCCAACTCTTCCATCACAGCTAACACAGTAGCACCAACTTCTGTAGAGTATGGGTCTCCTCGATTCTGACTCTAAAATTTATTTAAAGCTAAATTACATTGTATGATTTTAAAAATATTTTTTGAACTTCCCTAAGAGTCTATTCTTCAAGTTATTTTATTTGTAAGAAACAAATGTCTCTTTTATCTTACAGGAATTCTTTACAGTCATGTCTTTTTTACCTTAACCTGTATTGTAGGGTTATGGGTACATACAGAGTTACATTTGGGAACACTAAAACTTTGACATAATTTATTGAATGACACCATAGTTTGGCCTTTAGTAAAATAACTCTAAAATATAAAAAACAATTTGAGCCGCGTCAGTCCTCTCAGTCTGATCAGGATCCATGCTGTTCACTATCAGTTTCTCTACTTGTAATAGAGTTGGTAAGCGAACAGCATGGATCCTGATCAGACTGCGCGGATGCGCAGGCTGGTCTGGATCCATGCTGGTTGCAAACCCATTATGTTGGTTTTGTCATGACGCGGCTCATTTTGTTACTGAATTTATCTCAATAAAACATCATTACCTTATGGGTTTTTTTTCCAAGTTTTTTTAATGTTCTCATGCATGAGAATATGAGAAACCGACATAAATAATATAAGAGATAAGCAGGCAACAATCATAAACACTCCATGAAGGTCTCACTTAAAATAATTCTGCAAAATCCATAAGGAAACAATTTACAAACAGAAATTAATAGTCTACAGTTACATGATAAATCAAAACAATTGTCTACAAAACAAAATATATGTCAGAAATACATAATAATTAATTCAGAATTAAATATACATTCAGTAAAGTTAAAATTTAATTAACCTTAAGAGGTAGGGAATGTGCTGAAAACAGGATAACAACTTCATCTCTAACTTCTTCCGGAAATTTCTCCAATTCTGCACGTATATGATCAGCATGTGTCTATAAAATATTAAAACAAAAACTTTATTAAAACATTATAACTCCATAACTCCCTCCCACCCCCCACAAAAAAAAAATTATATCGGTAAACAATAATTTTTAAGCAATAAATTTGATTAATATATTGGCAATAAGTGAAGTGAAAGTTGAGTAAATTACATAAACATCAAAACACAAGTGCAGTGGAAAAAAAACATGTATGTTTTATAAAGAAAATTTTTTAATGATAAAATTGGGTTGTTAATTAGTTATCATGCAAAATAAAATGTTTTTAAAGAACTTGTAGTTAATGCTTTTAATTATTGTGTGTTAAGACCTTCCTGTACGCAAAAAGTCCGGTTTCCAAAAATCTCCCTCCCAACAGACTCAATCTACCTACTTTTAGGGTCAAATCTCCCTACTTGGCACCAGAAAAAGTTCACATGTATGTATTGCATGAAAACCAAACTTTTGAATCAATATAAATACAAAACAAATATATTTTATATGAATATTTTAAACAGTTAATCTGACTCTACTATAAAACTAGTATGATCCTTAAAATGCTCTACTAAGTGACAATTGTAACAATTATTAGTTAATCTCTATACATGTTCAAGAGTATGAACATTTACCAGTATATATGATGACATTATCAATATTTTCATTTGTTATATACATTTTTCTTAGTTTATAACCACATTTGACCTAGTTTTTAACCTAGTTATTAACTTCTTTGATCTTCTGTTCTATTTAATGATAACAAGGTTTTAATCAATTTTGACATTATGATGCAATATTTTTATGATGACCCTTGCTTGATCTTATTCAAGATATCATAAACACATTACATTCTTACAAAGTTTTATAAGTATTCAATCAAAACTGACTTACAGAGTCTTAAGAAGGTTATCATGTGATATGACAGGGTGACCTAGATTTTGGCCTCTGGAGACCTGTTTTTCAACTTGACCCAGATTTCATATTTACACATGTTAGTTTAAAAATGTGGATTGTAGAGCTTTTCAGTTTTTTATTCCTTAACGGCTGTGCATGTACTCCATTACTTTAACAATGTAAATAAATATGAATATAGAAGTAAACTCCAGTGTTTTATCAAGAAACGCAAACATTTTCATCAGGTATAGTTGTTTATAGCAGGTGTCTTTAACAAGACATCTATGATAATTATACCTTTATAAGTCCTTTATTTGTTGGCCACCTGTCAATACTGCTCCACGCTATCTGACTTACAGAGCTTCGATTTCGATAATGTCTATAAATAGCATTCATACTACTTCCTGTTGTAGAACAACTGTATTGTGGGTACTGAGTGAAAGCTATACCTCTCGTAACACCATCACTGCAGATAAACAATATGAATTGATATTCAGTACACAAATTATGACTCACCAAAGATTAATGACCAGTCACCAAACTTTAATCATACTAAGATTTCTTTTTTTATCAAATGTTAAAAAAATTAACATTTTTTGTGCTTTTTTTTTTAAATTTACAATGATTCATCCCACTTTTTGTTAAATTAGACATAAAAGTTATATGTTCAAAAGTACACATCATTAAACAAAATATACCCAGGTATATAAAATATACCCAGTAATATATATATTAACATTAATAATTTAATATTAACAGGTACATATATTGATGGATTTATTATCTACCGCTACAGCATATTAATGGCGTTATCAATATAATCTACTTTGTAGCCAGTTGCGGATACTGTAAATAAATATACATACCTGATATACCTTAAATAAAAAATGTTTCAAACAAGAGGGCCATGATGGCCCAGAGGTTGCTCACCTGTATATAGGCCCCCAGAGCGGGGCCAGTTTAAACCCCATGGCTTTTATTTGAACAAACTTGGAAGACACCCATTAGAAGATGTTTCATGATGTTAAGTTTTTGCTACACACATATAATGAAAAACAATGACCTCTGCCCTTCTGCTGCCCTCCCCCCCCCCCCCCCCGCAGGGCCAATTTTGACCCCAGGGCTTTTATTTGAACAAACTTGGTAGACACCCACAAGAAAATGTTTCATGCTAGACATCTAACCTCTGGCTCATTGGGTTTTTAAAAAGGATTTTTTAAGTTTTTACTATACACATATAGTTAAAAACAATGACACCTCTGGGGCGGGGCCAATTTTGACCCAAGGGCTTTTATTTGAACAAACTTTGTAGACACTCACTAGAAGATGTTTCATGCTTAATATCTAAACTCTAGCTATTTGGGTTTTTTCAAAGAAGATTTTTTTTAAGCTTTTGCTATACACATATAAGGAAAATCAATGACCCCTGGGGCGGGGCCAATTTTGACCCCAGGGCTTTTATTTGAACAAACTTTGTAGACACCCATTAGAACATGTTTCATGCTAAATATCTAAGCTCTAGCTCTTTTGGTTCTTTAAAAGAAGATTTTTTTAAGTTTTTGCTATACACATATAAGGAAAATCAATGACCCCTGGGGCAGGGCCAATTTTGACCCCAGGGCTTTTATTTGAACAAACTTTGTAGACACCCATTAGAACATGTTTCATGCTAAATATCTAAGCTCTAGCTCTTTTGGTTCTTTAAAAGAAGATTTTTTAAGTTTTTACTATATGCATATAGGGAAAATCAATGACCCCCTGGGGCGGGGCCAATTTTGACCCCAGGGCTTTTATTTGAACAAACTTGGTAGACACTCACTTGATGATGTTTCATGCCAAATATCTAGGCTCTAGCTCTTTGGTTTTTTTAAAAGAAGATATTTAAAGTTTTTTCTTTTGGTTGCCATGGCAACCAGAGTTCTGCATGGAATTAAATTCTTTGAACGATTTTTAAAGGTGATCACCAAAGGAACATTCTTGTGAAGTTTGGATGAAATTGGCTTAGTGGTTTATGATGAGATGTCATTTAAAGTAAAAGTTTACGGACGGACGCCGGACGAAAAGCGATCACAAAAGCTCACCCTGTCACTTTGTGACAGGTGAGCTAATAAAAAAAATTAAAAATTGATCATCTTTCTCAGAAGTAAACACTAGCTTATAATGAATTTATTTTTCAAATCATCAAAAATGTTTTTATAATTTACCTTTCCATTTGCTCAATGGCATCTTCTGTAAGAGGGTTCACATATCTGAATCCAATATAGAACTTATGTGGTGCTGTAAAAAACAGGTAAACAATTAAATTAAAGTTATACATGTATATTTTAAATAAATATTAAATTTTGACAAATGCTTCACAAGGACTGTATACTTTACTTTTCTTTAAACATCAAAATGGATTATTTAAAGAAAACTTTTCTTGTGGAAGTTAAACTTATATGTACATGCAAAACCAAAATAAGCTATTCTTTAAACTTAAGACACATTAAGTGTAAAATTCAGAAAAAAAAAATATGTTCAGATATTCGACAAAAAAAAACCACCTTCAATAATGCCTGAGACAACATATATCTATTTCCATGTGAATATCATGAATACCATGTTAAGGTGACAACGGAGTCAATTATCACTGAAAATAACTAAAATGAGATTTTTTGCTTAGTATATTTATCAACCTTTTCTGAACACATTCGTGATTTAATTTTGGAAGCAGTTAGTCCAAAAAATGTGTTTTTAAACGTTTTAAAACGGTACCTGTACCATTTTTATCTGCTATCGCGTAACCTGTCAATTATCGATAACGCTCCGCCCCCTGTTGAGGCATCAATGAGGGAAATCGGTAGTTCCATATATGCGTGAATTACCGGTCCATACTGGTCCATACTACTCGTAATTCGTGTATCGTACAAATACCGTACATCTTTTATGAATATCGTCTACCTTTTATTTAGCCTTCTTTTATAAAATAAGAAATTGTCGGCCAATGTACGTAACATAATGTATGAAACATAAATAATTAATCATAGCGACAAATCGCACGACCACGGGGTTGATTAAAAATATAGTTGCTAAAATATCCATAATGTGTGAAAATAATTTGTCTGTCCCGTTAATCTGATTGATATTACATTGAGTTTATGGACTTTTGTACGGATTCAAGGGCTTGCTTTACATTCAACCTCGTTTTCTAACAATGTCAAGTAAAACAACAACAAAAACAGACAACATTGTTTATGTGAACGCCTTGTGGTAAGGTGTCCCTGACAAATTTCTAAACCATTTTAGGTTGTCTAAGGATGATTATTTCTCTATTCATGGTGGCATATTTCTGCCACCAGATAACCTGATAACAAACTAGTTAATTAAGAGGTTAACTAGTTACGTAACTAGTTAATTTTTTCAATAAAGAAAAGATCATAACGGGAAATAAATGCATGTTAGTGCCTGCAACTGGCATCCTTTTATTATATTATCATCTTAAAATTAAGAGGTTAACTAGTTACGTAACTAGTTAACCTCTTAATTAACTAGTTAGTTAGCAGGTTATCTGGTGGCAGAAATATGCCACCATACTCTATGAATCAATAAAAAAAGATAATAAAATAAATTATCAGTGAATGCTTTGAATAAATTGTTCGCTAGTAAATTGAACACAGTACTAATAAACCTGGGAGAAAGTTTGGAATTTATTGTATATCCCAGTAGAAACTGGATCTCCATGCCGTGCATGGATGCTTTTCATGATAATAGAAGTCAAGAAGGTCAGATCATAATGATCGAGTGATACCTTTTATTTCTATTAAAATATGTGAAGCATTTATATCAATTTGGAGGAAAAAATATATAATATCCCGTTCTTATTTGTACATCTACCGTGGACTTTAAAAGACTGTCAGAAGCTCAGTTTTTTTGTAATTTTAATTTATATTTTAACGGAAATTCATACACGAATACACAGATAGAGTGACACTGGTATAATATAATAATAATGCTGATGATAATAATAATAAACTTCAAATGTGAAACAATTAAATACCCCGCTAGCGGTGCACAAATACGTCCCATTTCCCCCCACCGAGTGCCTCAAATTTTACCGAAAGTCACGTGACATGTGCGACCGATACCAGACTGACGGTAAATCACGTTAAGATTTGAAGAAATTTCTGTTATAAACTGATATTAATCAGCAACTTTTTAATTGGTCAGATGTCACTGGGTCATAAAATGTTGTTAGAGTATGTTACCGCAACTTGTGACCCTCTCTGGTGCGATATTTGTGTATTATGCAATTATTTAGCGTGAAACGTAGGGGTTCGAGAGAGAACAGCCGATTTATGACACTTCGTTTGATGCGTGTCGGACTAACTTTGAATCGGTATAACTTTTTTAATAATCAAGCAATTAACATGCGGTTTAAAGCACATGAAAGGGAATTCATTTACGGAGGGAACCGTGTCAGGGATTTTTGTTCGCTCAATCAGCGACTTAATTATCTTTAATTACGTAATATGTATGGTGAAAAAAGTCGCATAAAATGTTTGACGTTACGTAATATTTTTTTGGGAAAAGATAGAAAAAATTTGAGACACGGTTCCCCAGATATTATAAGTATGTTTATTTTCCGAAAGTTTGATGACAAAAAGATAAAAAATGACTTTGATATGACGATTTAAAATTTTAGGATTTTTATTAAAAATCAAATCATTTACAAAGGCATTTTTTTCAAATATGTTATTTTTTATGATGATCAACGACATTTAATGCGCAAAGATTAAATAAATAACAATTTTTACTAAAATAAGTTGGTTTAAATGACATTTATGTGATTACCACGGAAAGTGTCTGTTGTCACCTTAACACCAGTAAGTTCCATAATAACTCTAATCAAGTATTATATGCCATCATAAGAAACCCCATGCTCGAGTATACTTAACTCATACATAACTTTGAAGCTCTTAGAATGTAACTTTTAATGAACAAAATCACAAACATAGTAATTTTGAGTATCAAATTTATACCTTAACCTGCTGGAACCAAAAGTATAAATCTGCCTTTACGACCAGTTTAGAGTCCGACCAGTTTGCACATCCATGCAGTCTGACCAGCCTCTAGACTGTTGGCAGCTTATTTATTTTATATTTTGATATTGAAAACCTTTAAAGGGACTCCACTGAGATTTTTTGACATGATTGGACTGAAAATATTTTTTCCAGATAAATGTTCCATTTGATGTAAGTTTAGACCTGTAATCTTTGTGCAAAATTTAAGATCATTCACACACTTTGTTTTTCCATAATTATTCAAATTGTAAAAAATGACCCAAAATGAAAAAGCGTTTAAATGCTTTTCACTCAAATCGAGCTAAGAAAAGCATAAAATTATGATTTTCAATTTATTTCAAAGAATATTTCTTAACTATCTTTGCATATATTTCTGTTTAAAGTGCCCCAGCTCATTTATGTAAGGAATGCTAATGTTATGTTTTTAGGCTTTTAAACCTCAGTGGAGTCCCTTTAAGCTTGTTATGGACTGTTCTAAAGTCAAATCTGGACGCGTCTGTTGCACAAAGTCAGCAGGTAAAAGGTTAACGAAAACAATTGTATCATATGATATGTTGTACGAGATATATGTCTGTACCTGTTTGTGGACTAATCTTATCTAGTATATCAACCATTCCCTGTCCTTGAAGTGTCGTCCATTTCTTGATGGGAGAACCTCCACCAATCTCATGATACTGTTTCTGTATACTAGGTGTCCGTCTGCTTGCTATAACTGGCCCTAGTTTACTGTTAATCATAATATTTAGTAATCAACAATTATGCAATGTCAAAAACAAGAAACCTAACTGAGCCAATACTGTTGACCTCAGTTAATTCAAACTCAGTTCATTCAAAAGAAGATAAAATTGTTCCTCAGACTTGTCAATTTTTCATTCAAGGGCAATGATATATATATAATTATATGCGATTTTTCATATACCGATTACACAAATATACATTTACTGAGTTCCTAGGCTCTGGGTGTATACTACTGTTCTAAAAATAAAGATATTTCTATCTATCTTAAACATAAACAGACATTTTGGTAGAACAATCAACAATTCCTCAATTACTGTAGCTCAAAGCTGCTTTGCTTCCTAACATGAAAACATTGAAAGTTCCAGGCAGGATTAAACCACCAGGTCAGGGGTTCAAGAGAGTGTTATTTCTGATGATGAAGCTTTCAAAGTTTCTTCTTTTTCTTTATTCTTTTTAAAGCAGCACGCCTCCAGATATGTCTTAATTTTCATGCAAATTTTGAAAATGTAATGAAAAGCAAAATATTGTTTAGTGAACTTGACACATTGCAATCGGCACTTATAATCGACGTAAATTACTAAAAAGAGGTCAAAATATGCAAAAATAACCCCTACTGCGTTACTAACGCAGTAGATATATGGTAATAAATACTGCAAAAATTAGTCATTAATTGCACATAAGATATAAATTATCACTTGAATCTTTAATATTTTTACTTTTCTTAAAATCTTAGAACATATTCCCCAAGTTTAATTTTCTTGAAATATTTTGGCTCATCCGGAGGCATGCAGCTTTAAATTCTTTCCTATACATGTAATTCTCAACAAGAAATGGAAAAAACTTCATATGACCTTTATTTCATGTAGGTCTTATGTTGCAAAAAAAATAAAATAAACAGCTTTATTAAATCTACACAATTGAAGAACTTAAACAAAACAAACCTTTGTGCAGGCAGTTGTATAAGATCCCTATCTTTAAACAAATTCAACAAAAAGTCATGGACTTCATCTAACGTCTCTGGACCACCCATATTCAACATCAAAATCCCAGTCTTTGCTTTGCTGTTCAAAAGAAAGAATTAATTCTCAATATAATCAGAAGATCAAATTTCATTTCACCTGTCAATATGATATCATACAACAAACTATCAAAAATTTTAATTCAGTTTCACCTATAAATATTTTACAATGTACTATAATGTTTTTTTATTTCACCTATCAATATTGTACACCTTACTATCAAAATAAATTTGATGAATAAAATAACATGGCATTGTCATTCTTTTTACTGAAAAATAAATTGACTCTTTCTCATACAAATCAGCCATTTTAAATCTGCTTATTTTACTACAAACATGTCATTATACACGGGGGTGGAACCCCATATGAATCTCAAAAATGAGCATCAGTAAAAATGATATGTGAATTTCCGCTGCACCAGATGTGAAGCATAACAACAGATGTGACTGGAAAAATAGGTCGATCGCAGGGTAAGTTTTCATCTTTTTAAATATTTATATAAAATTCAATCCTTATTTTAAGAAAATCGAAATGTGATTCTACCCTCCTGACTCTCCTCTATACTACCCTTTGTTGTTTTGGATTTCTATGCAGTCTTTATCGAGATATTCTTTCCGTCGTGGGTTCTGGCGTGTCCAAAATATGCAATGTGAATGAAGAAAATGTCACTAAACGGCCTAAAACAGAAATTTTACGAAAACTCACTACAGGTCGATGCTAAACATTCAAACAAATCCTGGTTTAAACATTTATTGAGATTTGGCTACATACAAGGGAATCGCTGCTCAAAATTCCATTTGAGCTCCAGATGTGCTGAAGAGATTAATATGTGCATAACATAGAAAATAAGCAACATAATTACGCATCACTAAAATACAGCAATCTAGAATTTATTCTATTGTGTATCATTCTGTAATAAATACTATTAACCGAAGTAGACACATTTTCACGAGACGAGCTTGAATAACATAGTATCCATATAGAAAGAGATATAAGACATTCTGCATAGAAAGGTTTTGAAAATACGTAGATATGGTGGGAAGGCCTTGCTTATTTTGACTTATTGACGTCGTGTGTACTGCAATCTTTCCCTTTTTATGCCACCATGCATTAATTAATTAATTAATTAATTAATTATTCACTCGACTGCACTGTCTGCTTAATAGGGGAGTAATGTGAAGCGTGTTTGAATTTGTTATGATGCTGTAAGAAAGTAAGTGATAAACTTCAAAAAAAAGATCAAATTTATTTTCCACATCAAGAAACGTCCCTGCAGAATATTTACATGGTTCACTTCATGCCCACAGTCGCAATTATGGGTCAATGCCTATCTGAATTTTATCCCTGCTCTGTAATTCTTTGAATGGTTTTAAAGAAACTTTAACATATCTTAACCGTATTGAGCGGACATGCGTAGCTCATAATGCACATAGATTGTTTCCTGAAAATGTTCATGTACGCAAAAATATCACTAAACTTATTCTCCGCTTTATAACTATTATTTCAGTGGGAACTGTAAATTATAAACACTTTCGTAATTCGTATCTTTTCTTTTGTTATTTTTTTTCCAGGAAAATGGGTCGTTTTCTAGGCACAAGAAAGAAAGGTTTAAAACTTTCAAGAATAAAACGTCACATGTATCGTGAAAAGAGGAAGTCATCAGCGCTTACATCTCCTTTTTCGCCTTTTAAATTGTCCCCATGTGTCAAAAGATTCCGCGTATCGCAGACTCCAAAGTCCAAGAATTTACCAGAAAGTGCACGTATTACTTTTTTTCCAATTCAAAGGAAAAACGCTTAATATTCAATTCACAACTATTAAGTCCCATTATTATTATGATTATTATAGAAACGGCAAAAGCCGTCCATATGGCAAATACGCCGAAAATAACAGGGACGGCATAAGCCGTCCCTATGACAGTGAAAAGGTTAATTTATGGAGAGAAGCCAATCATAAATTGAAATTTTATGTTTATTAAAATTCTCATTTCTGTTTATCATGCGATAAAACAGTTATAATATATCGAACTCTACTATTATGAAGAAATATCATGACCTGGGGCGGCATCTCGGGTTTCAGACAATGTTCGCAGCCCATATTCTGTAAAGTAAACCTTCGATGTCGCATCAGGCCATGATATTTACACATAACAGTCTGTCGATATAACTATAACTTGATATATAGATATTTTTATGAATGTAAACATTATTATTTAGAAACATATTATATGACACGATAGCTTTACAAAGTTCAATACGTTCAGTTTGGTTTGTCCAAGTTACATATTATTTATTAGTGAATTGTTTATCATAAGAGAACTATCCGCTCTCCGTCAACATTTTCATGTACTCGGGCCTCTTAGTGTATCTAATGCTAGCATAAGCTAGTAAGCTCTGTCACTGTGGTAATCAAACACACTCATGTTACAATTGAACTTCCAGCCAAAGCTGCAAAACCTATATTGTTTCTATAGATTGGCTATTCAATGATTATATGGAAGTGGTCCGTTGTTTTGTAGATGGTTTTCTACATCACTTATGAATCTCTTAAGCACATCTGGAGCTCAAATACAATTTGAGCAGCGATTCCCTTGTATGTAGCCAAATCTCAATAAATGTTTAAACCAGGATTTGTTTGAATGTTTAGCATCGACCTGTAGTGAGATTTCGTAAACTCTCTATTTTTTGAGACCGTTTAGTGACATTTTCTTCATTCACATTGCATGTTTTGGACACACCAGAACCCACGACGGAAAGAATATCTCGATAAAGACTGCATAGAAATCCAAAACAACATTGGGTAATATAGAGGAGAGTCAGGAGGGTAGAATCACATTTCGATTTTCTTAAAAAAAAGGATTGAATTTTATATAAATATTTAAAAAGATGAAAACTTACCCTGCGATCAGCCTATTTTTCCAGTCACATCTGGTGTTATGCTTCACATCTGGTGCAGCGAAAATTCACATATCATTTTTACCGATGCTCATTTTTGAGATTCATATGGGGTTCCACCCCCGTGTTATAAGTCTTACTTTTAATTGCATCTGTTAACAAAAGTTCTAAATAAGTCAAAGATTATCATACATGTTCTGTTAATAAGGAGCCAAGAAGTTTAGAAAATAGAGCCTAATAGCAGTATTCAATTAGTCATGGGTTCAAATCTTAGTCAGGCTGCTCAATTTCCTAACCCATAGCTACTTGACGCCCAAATTTTGGGTCCAATGGTGTCAAACTCTGAGCCAATGTGACTCATTCTTTGTACTCACATGAAATTCAAAGAACAATTTCAAGATAATTAAGGAATATGTTATGGTATAAAAGTGATCACTGATTGGTATGAAAATGTGCTAGTTGCTACCTTAGTAAAGCTGCTGAATTCCATGAGAATGGTCACAGTCTTGAGGGTCCTGTAAGCTGCATAATTTTTTTTACCCTATGACAATATATGTTTTGAATAATCTGTCATTAGTATTGTAATATAAAGATAACCTTAATAAAGGTAGAACTTTCTGAAACAAAATCTTAGTTACCTCTCTGAACTAGCAAACCTTCTGTTCCCATAGTAACAAGATATCAAAGCACAACATTCCTGTCCTTTTTGTCCTCTTAAACTGTGGTTCTGTAATACTGAAAAATGACAAATAATACATGGACAGTTATAATGCTTTCTTCATTATCAGTCACACATATCCTACATGTATCTTAGGTTTATGTTCATAATTTAAATAATCAGTAAACGGGTAGGCTATAAATCTGAAAAGCCAATTTAAGTACTAGATTTGACATTAATATATTTTACACAGTAGAACTTAAATGAGCCGCGCCATGACAAAACCAACATAATAGGTTTGCGAACAGCATGGATCCAGACCACCCTCCGCATCCAGGCCATCTGCTCTTGATCCATGCTGGTTGCAAACCCACTATGTTGGTTTTGTCATAGCATGGCTTAAATCTCTTTGACCACCAGCAGATCTATTGGTGCACTCATTTATATAAAGGACTATTAGAATTTCTTCAAATTTTGAGAAAAAAAAACAGTTAATTATGGAAATTAACTACAAAATTTAGAGTCCATTTATTGTGCTATAACCAGAAAAAAAAACAAGAGCCACTGCAATGCTACCAGTCCATGCTTGACTTTTTCATATTTCTTCAGTTAAAAACACCAGAGGAAGAATATTGTAGTTAAGAATACTTCAAGGAAACACAATTTTGCTGTACAAAATATAATTAAAGTTTCATATTTGACCTTGACAGTCAAGGTCATACTTGAATTATTCAACATGACAGCTAGTGTTGTCATAAGTGTTGTTTTGTCCCAGTAAGTATGACTATGTCAGAATAAAACTTAACATTCTGTTTCATTATAATGAATAACAAAGTTATGACATTCAACAATATGACCTAGATTGTGAAGGTCACTCAAAGGTGAAGGTGCACCAATACAGTATAGGTGATATGGCACTGAAAAAAGGAAAGATAATTTTGGCTAACCTTGGGTGTTGAACTGTTACAAACTTCCAGGTCAAACCACCTCACCTGCTAAAGCTAAGTTCAATTTAACAAAAACTGTGACATAATAGTAATTTGACCTCTAAGGGTCAAGGTTATTGATGAGTGAAGGTCATGATCAATTTGGTCTAATTGAAGATCTTGTCTAAATGATTGAAGACACCAAGATGAAGTATGAAGACAATTAATTCACAAATAACAAAGTTATAGCCAATCAAACAAAATCTAAACTTATATGATGTTGAAGGTCAAACTCAATTATGAGTCAACGTCAAGTTCAGTCTGGTCTACTTGAAGGACTTGTCTAATGGGTTGTTTTTATTTAGAAATAAAAAAACAGGGGCTAATGATTTGTTTTTGGAGCGCAAAGGAAATGGATAGTAGCAATAGCTCTAACTGAACAGCTAAAAACTAAACAAAAACTTGCCTTAATGAAGCTAATAACATTTGGTTATATGTGTAATATGGTCATAGACAGATAGAAAGAGATCTAATTACTAAATAAGATAAAAATACATTATACAAAAAGTAATGTTAACCTTCAGCATACATGTACACATGACGTAATGCATACTTTCAGATATCTATCTGCTTGCTCGACATGTCAGTACAACGCAAGCACACAATGTCTTTACATATAGTATTAAGACTAACTTTGGGTCTGTGACATTTCAGAATAACACAAGTCCCGATTCTAAATGTTACGCAATCAAAATGTTTTACAGGCGACTTTTGCATTCAGTGCTCGTTTGATATGAGTGACAACACAATTCAAAATAAGTGATTATAATTTTGAGTACTAAGATGCAATTACAAAACAAATCAAAAGACATTTACCTGTAAAAATCTGTCTGCATATTTTTGCCATGTTTTTCACCGGAGGTTTGATGTGAACTGACATTTGGTTACTATAAATAGACATAGACATCCCGATACTAAGTTTATTTCCGGGTTTTCCAGGTTTGGTTCCCGGTTTTTAGACCCTTATTAACTTTGAACGCTAAGTTGCAGGAAACAAGACATTCCAATATGTCAGCCTCCATGAAATAGTTACGTGTCAACAATAGTTCTTAAGTTTTTTTGTTTCTAACAATTTTAGTAAAAGATAATGTGAATTGCGTAGCTATCAAAGTTCAGTTGTATGAGTATATCTGTTATAGTTTAGCAATGGGAATCTGTAACACTAAAAGAGGCAAGTAAATTGTGTTTCAACGTTTTTTTTGGTTTTTCAATTTTTTTATTTTTTTTTAAATTTTGGTCACCATTCACTCTGCTGTATCGTCAATATCAGTCTATATTCCATTAATGCCAAACACATCACGGGGATGTTGACATGTCTAGGAAAGTTAAAAAATGTTGTTTAAATGAGGAAACCGTAAATAAGTCTCTGACCAAAAATAATATTTTCCCCAAAATGAGCATTAATCACTGTAACTAGAAAATTGATGATTTTTGGGGAAAAACTGATAAATTTAATGTTTATTTCTTGGATTTTATGATAATATCAACAGTTTTTTTTATCACATTTCTTTTTTTTTTTTATTCGAGATGAAAATACTCTGCTAAATAGAAAAATTTTAGGATTATTTTTATCGACGGAAGTCGCGAGCATCGCTTCCATCCGTTTAAATTATTCCATGAGAATACGAGAAACCCCTAGATTACATGAGAAATAGGAATGATAATAAAACAATATGAAATTAGGTGGGAAGTTGTTTAAAAAAATGGTTCATTTTTCTGATTTAAAGTTGTCATTCGGTATTTTATGCACCGCTCCAGATTTCACTCGTATTACATGATGGTCATTTTTAATCTGATAAGTTGCGATTGTTCGTTACCTGAATACCCCATCTATTATCATTGAGTTACATTGAAAATGGCGGTGCCTGAGACTACATGTAGAACTGACACTGAAAATTTCTTTGATACATTGTAGGTATAGAATTAAAAAAAAAAAATAGTTGATTTTATTTGATATACGTGTAGTCTATAGCCAGGAAAGCCAAAGCCCGCCTTTTGACTTCAGTAATGATAAAAGTATAATAATATGAAATTAGTCAAAGCCTATGATTTGGGAAGTTGGTTAAAAAAAATAGTTCACCTTTGATTTTACATTTTTAGTTTTAAAGGTGTCTTTCCTAATTTCATGCACCGTTTCTATTTTCACTCAGAACACCTTGATAAGATAAGATAATCTTTATTTATAGTTGGTTACAATAAAATATAATACCACTAGCTATATAAGCTATTTTCCAACATACCAGACAATCCTTTAAAATGCAAACAAACAACCTGTATGAAATTATAAAAATTTGATTAATAGAATGTTCATCTATGATGGATAAGAAACTGTAGAATAAATTAAGATTTATAAGCACATATCATTATAGATAAGATAATAATAGATTACAAGCAAATATCACACTATCAGTAAATATCACAGTATAATACAACATACTTGAAGTTTGTTTTTTGTATACTTAACCTAATAATCAGAAATAAAACAAAAATGAGGAATCAGTCATATTTTGATGATTATTATTATAATAAGCCGAAAAGTTGTGATTGTTCTGTTATCGCAATACCCCCTCTATTAACATTGAAAATGGCGATGCCCAGCTACTTATGACACTGGAAATTTCACTGATCGGGATAGAAATCTATATATTTTTTAATTTGATTTCCTTTTAAATATACACATAACTGTTTATACCCAGGCAAGTGGTCCAAGGCTTTTGAGGGCTCAACCTTTGATTTCCCCGTATTAAAAATGTTAAAAACAGGGGGGCTGGAAAACTAGGGTGAGACATGCTTGCACCACTGTGGTAGGGAGTAGAGGAACTGCAAGAGGTAGGTGGTTCCAGTGGTATACAATCCTAGGAAAAAAAAGAGAATTTATAATAGTCTGATGTTACTGTTAAATAATCTATAACTCAGGGATGATGGCATGATGTACGAGAGAGGGGTGTCACATATTCTTTTTTGTGGATATCTGATAGCAACCAGACCATGGTGAATCTTGTAGAAAAGGGATACATAGTATTTATGTCTGAATTCCAGTTTTTGCTTAAAAGAGTGATGCATATTGTCTGTGAGTGACACAAGAGGTCAGACCATTATCTAGCTTGATCCATTGGGCTTCTCTTCTTTGGGCATTTTCAATTTGATCTATTTGTTATTTGTTTTAGTTCTACTCAGGTGCCTGTTTGTGCCTGAAATAATGCATGGAAGGGCACCTGAGGTCTTCCTCCACCAGTAAAGCTGGAACGTCACCATATGACCTATATAATGTGTCGGTGTGACGTAAAACCCAATTAAAAAAAAATTTGGTATTGGGAGGTCATATTTCGGAACCATATTTGAGTTGGGGTCTTCTTCTTCTTTGAATTGAAGTTTACTGCCAGGGTCTGAGTCAAGACTGGCAATCAACAGACTAAATGGATTGGGATTTAAAATAAATTACTATAAACTAAAAAGTAATGGAGATAACAAATTAAAATTTTACAGCTGTATTTATCTTCTTAATGTAAAGCACACTGCAGTTTTAGAACTATAACTCTCTTTTATGTGGTTTTGAAGCCCTTTACACATTTTTCACGTTTAATTTTTCTCCATTTTTTCTATATTTTATATAGTGCTGTGCCTATTGGCAGTTGTTTGGCTTGGAATTATGTGTTATCTGTGGTTTCCAGACAAATTTCCGATACACAACTTACTGAAAGAGAAGAATTCTTTTCCTGATAAAGGTATTGTTAACATTTTATTCTTTATCTTTGAGCTAAATGACTGTAATATTCATATAAAAGGAGAGCTGTCCTATTTGAAACTTGGACAGCTTGTTATTTGTTAATGAACATTAACACAAACTTCCTTGCAATAGCTTATTACTCTGTCATGGATTTTGAAAAATTATATGCCCCTTTTTATGACTTAGATTATTGTATAACTTGTAACACATGTACATTCCCCTAATTTTTAGCAAGAAAACATAAATATGACATGAATTTTGTCATAATTATGTCCCTCTTTTACTTTAAAGTTTCATTTTATAAAGATGTGCTTTTATTTCACTATTAAGTATATTTAAGAATGGTCAGACAGAAAGCTGGAGAGTTTTATAAGATTATGTCCAAGGAATTGTGTTTAGATAATTGGTTAACTTATACATGTAACTGTTTTCCTTCTGTATTATCAAAGTTTCTTGACTTTTTTGCAAAGATGGTCCTTTTTCTTGCGGAACTATTTCCATATTTTTCAGTTTACATCAAGAATATCCTTCAATCAATTCTTGAAAATATTTGATGTATTTTTGCCTTTTTCAAGCATGCCAATTTGAATTTTTTTTAAAAAAATGGTGATGTGATCATAGTCATAATGTAATCGCAATGTATTTCTTTGAAGGAATATTGCAAGCAGAAGCTTTCCAAATGGCACGTTTTAATAAAAGCAAACTAGCTCAAGCGGACGTAGTTCATGTATGTATTACATCAGATGAGAACACCATTGGAGGGATGATAGCTTTGATAAACAGCATAGATCAGAACACAAAACACCCGGTCATGTTTCATTTGTTAGTGGATGCAGAAAGTGTCGTACATCTGAGGTAAGGGATATCTCAATCTATGCCTACTAAATTAAGCCTTTCATTTATAGATCCTTTTACCTTCAGGTTAGTAAAATGAACATGCCTTACTTTATTTATGGATTTAAAATATTATTTTTAAGAGATATCAGTATGTAAAAGAAGCTAAATTTAGCTGCCAGGACTGCGTTTCATAGAAAGTCCTTTAAGTTTATCCTAAGTCCTAGCACCTGTGACCATTTTTATAGGACTACAGTATTTCAATAACTATTTTTGTGTCGCCTTGAAAAAGGCGACATATAGGGGTTACTTGTGTCGGCGTCGTTGTCGTTGTCGGCGTCCCCTTAAGCTTGTCCGGAGCATAAGTCAGTCATTATAAGTTGGATTGACTTCAAACTTGGTATGCATGCTTCTTATAATGACCCGAAGTGCAGTGCACAAGAACCGGTACTCTGCACTTCTTATTTTTTGAGTTATTGCCCTTTGGTAATTTTCATACTTTATTTTTGTCCGGGCCATTTCTCCTAAAGTATAAAATCTATGGACTTGAAACTTCATAGGATGATAGATCTCATTAAGAAGAAGGGCAGTGCACAAGAACTGGTACTCTGCATTTCTTATTTTTTGGGTTATTTCCCTTTGTTAATTTTCATACTATATTTTTGTCGAGGCCAATTCTCCTAAAGTTTAAAAGCTATGGACTTGAAACTTTATAGGATGATAGATCACATTAAGAAGTAGTGTCGTGCACAAGAACTGGTACTCTGCATTTCTTATTTTTTGAGTTATTGCCCTTTGTTAATTTTCATACTTTATTTTTGTCCGGGCAATTTCTCCTAAAGTATAAAAGCTATGGACATGAAACTTCATAGGATGATAGATCTCATTAAGAAGAAGTGCAGTGCACAAGAACTGGTACTCTGCACTTCTTATTTTTTTAGTTATTGCCCTTTGTTAATTTTCATTCTTTATTTTTGTCCAGGCCATTTCTCCTAAAGTATAAAAGCTATGGACATGAAACTTCATAGGATGATAGATCTCATTAAAAAGAAGTGCAGTGCCCAAGAACTGGTACTCTGCATTTTTTATTTTTTGAGTTATTGCCCTTTGTTAATTTTCATACTTTATTTTTGTCCAGGCCATTTCTCATAAATTATAAAAGCTTTAGACTTGAAACTTATTATCTTATTGCTAAGAAGTGCAGTGCACAGAAACTGCTGCTCTGCATTTCTTTTTTTTTGAGTTATTGCCCTTTGTTGATTTTCAAATTTCATTTTTGTCCTGCCCAGTTCTCCTAAACTATATTGTTCACAAGGCGCACATCCGTCACTCACGGAGTTCTAGTTAGATAAACACAACAGTAAGGATAAATGGCGCAATAGATGGATCTTCTTATTTTGGTAATAATGGAAATTACAGCACATTTTAAGCAAAAAGAAAAGAAACTATAAGTCTGACATAGCCTCCCATCAGTACATTCAGTGCTTTGATCTTTCCTTCAGAGATACAATGGCATATGCTTTAACCTACAATCTGTTCATGCTTATCTCCATGACTTTTAAGAAATTAAACAAGTACATGTATTAACAGAGGAATCATAAGACATTTTCTTTAACACATACAACTGTGTCTTCTTTTGGTCTTAATATTGATTTTAAGCTTGGAACTTTGCACGAAATGCAGCCCAGATGTGTATAGATTGCAGGCTTGTCTAGGTAAGTTAAATGCATAGACCAGTTATTGCCAGTGCTAATAGATCTTCATTATACATGTATATTGTCTTTGTTTATTAATTTTAGAACATGGATAGAGAATACAAGACTACATGATATAATGTACGAGATTAAACCTTTCCCATACAACCTTGTTGATGGCAAGGTCAAGGTCAGAGGTAATCGGCAAGAATTAGCTAGACCTGTAAGTCTTTTAAAATTTTCATATTCTACATACTGCGTATTCACTTATATTCGTTGGCATGAAATTTCGTGGTTTTATCAAAACGGGCATTTTCGTGGGTTCTTAAATTCGTGGATTTTCAATTTCTTGTAAAATAAAATAAATAACCAAATGCAATGTAATATACCCACAAAAACCAAGAAAATTTGTGCCCCACGAATAATAATGATTTTACAGTATTTTAGTTATATGATCAAACATGTCAAATGTGTAATATTGTCTGTCTTCACTATATAATGCACACTTATGTTGCTATGGCAACATACAATAGGTTACAATAAATCTTTCTTTAATGCTGAACAATCTGTTCCTCTTTTATGTGGCTAGAAAAATCACTTAAGTGGCTGAAAGAAAAATGGAGAGAAAAGTAGTTTAGTTTTTACAAATTATAAACAGTGATTTTTTCCCTTTGTACAAATGTTTAATAACAGTATGTGGTAAAAAGAAGTCATTTGACTTTTACTTATATCACTTGTGAATTATGAATTCTATATGTGATACATTCTATTCTTCTATCATACACAAATTATATGGGTATTCAAGACAAGTGTGAATAATATGTTGACAATAAATAAAAAATTAAGAATACATTGTATCAGTGCTGCGTTCAATTTAAATTTTCTATGATATATTCAGTACTAATATGATTATATATTTTTTCAGTTGAATTACGCCAGATACTACATACCTCAGTTATTTCCAGATCTCAGTGGAAGAATTATTTTTATTGATGATGATTGTATAGTACAGGGTGAGTCTGTCAGTTTATAAATTGATAAATCATTTTTTAATGTACATTGTATCAGTATTTTCTTTATTAAAGTTTATACATTTTACTTTTCTCAATGATTATTGTAAGTCTTCTAAGTTGGGATGTGGAGCTCAAAATGCCTTTTAAATCTTTAATGAACTTAATATAAGCTGTTTTGAAAAAATTTCATATTTCAACGTCTAATGAAATACACTTGTATTAGTAAAGACGTTCAAATATGATTTTTTTTCAAAACGGCTTATTTTAAGTTTTTATATGCCCGAAAGGGCATATTATGTTATACCCCCTGGCGTCCGTCTGTCTGTCTGTCTGTCTGTCCGTCCGTCCGTACGTACGTCCGTCCGTCCGTCCGTTAGCAATTTGGTTTCCGGAGCATAACTTAAGTTCCATTTGGCCCACAATGTTAAAACTTCATAGGATGATTGTCCATATTGGGTAGAAGACCCCTATTGATTTTGGGGTCAAAAGGTCAAAGGTCAAGGTCACTATTACCTTAAAACTGAAAACGGTTTCCGGAGCATAACTTAAGTTCCATTCGACCCACAATGTTCAAACTTCATAGGATGATTGTCCATATTGGGAAGAAGACCCCTATTGATTTTGGGGTCACAAGGTCAAAGGTCAAGGTCACTATGACCTTGATACTGAAAACAGTTTCCGGAGCATAACTTAAGTTCCAATTGGCCCACATTGTTCAAACTTCATAGGATGATTGTCCATATTGGGTAGAAGACCCCTATTGATTTTGGGGTCAAAAGGTCAAAGGTCAAGGTCACTATACCCTTATAACTGAAAACAGTTTCCAGAGCATAACTTAAGTTCCATTCGACCCACAATGTTCAAACTTCATAGGATGATTGTCCATATTGGGAAGAAGACCCCTATTGATTTTGGGGTCACAAGGTCAAAGGTCAAGGTCACTATGACCTTGATACTGAAAACAGTTTCCGGAGCATAACTTAAGTTCCAATTGGCCCACAATGTTCAAACTACATAGGATGATTGTCCATATTGGGTAGAAGACCCCTATTGATTTTGGGGTCAAAGGTCAAAGGTCAAGGTCACTATTACCTTATAACTGAAAACAGTTTCCAGAGCATAACTTAAATTCCATTCGACCCACAATGTTCAAACTTCATAGGATGATTGTCCATATTGGGTAGAAGACCCCTATTGATTTTGGGGTCACAAGGTCAAAGGTGAAGGTCACTATCACATTGATACTGAAAAATATGTTTCCACGCATAACTTAAGTTCCATTTGACCCACAATGTTCAAACTTCATAGGATGATTGTCCATATTGGGTAGAAGACCCCTGTTGATTTTGGGGTCAAAAGGTCAAAGGTGAAGGTCACTATTACCTTGATACTGAAAACAGTTGCCGGAGCATATGTTAAGTTCCATTTGGCCCACAATGTTCAAACTTCATAGGATGATTGTCCATATTGGGTAGAAGACCCCTATTGATTTTGGGGTCAAAAGGTCAACGGTTAAGGTCATCCTTACTAAAAAAAAAATACTTTCGGGCATATAATGCTCCGCCTAGCGGTGCTCTTGTTTAATATATACGATAAGACACAAGCTGGGATTAACAAATATGCATTTTATTTGGATTTTAAACCCACACCCCAAGTGTCTGTAAGTTATGTTTGTGAAGCAGTGCCTTCATGTCCGAGAGGTTATGGTCCCAAGCTTTTAACAAGTTGCTATAATTCATCGCTGTGTGGATATCAATCACATCCGGGACTGAAGTTGGTTTTTGTTATGAAGGAATTTATCTAGCACATTGATAATTGATGTAGTTCTTTAACTTGTTTGTGTTACACAAATGCTGATACTCTGCAATTTTTTCAGCGGATGTTTTCACTAATTATATCAATTCTAATTATCATTAAACATTGTTAAAAGAATATGAATAAACAAAAGATTATTACAAAATTATTCTACAGGAGATTTGTATGAACTGTTCAATGTGAAGCTGAAGCCAGACCACTGGGCAGTCTTTGCCGAGGATTGTACTGGATCTGCCAAGAGAGTTACCTTGATGAAGGTGAGAAAACTAATCACTGACATGATTTTAAAAAGATAAACACTGTTTGTTACATTTTCCTTCTGAAAAGAATTAAAATCTTTTTTTAAAATGACAATAAATTATATTCTGTTTCAGACATGATATAAAATTAAGGAAAAAATTAATTTATATATACATTGTGCTTCAAATGTGACATCATTCATCACACCTGTATGATTGGAGCTCAGGTTTAGATACATGTATTAAATTTTACATGAAAGCTTTTTCGTAAGAAATAGCAAAAAGATTTTTGACAAATTCTTTAGTTTCCAGTAGATATTTACTGTTACATTATTTGACAAATGTAAGAACTAAAGCAGCAAAAAATATATGTAATATTTTTCTACATGGAAAGTACATTGTCACTGGACGTCAAAAGCAAAATATTTAGTTTGTTCTTATAAACACTAGGTTTCATCATCTATGTCTTGCAGAATGTCTATTCAGACTCTGTTGACTTTCTCTCATGTTTACAGAATGTTTATGCAGACTATATAGACTTTAAGAACAAACATGTACAGATGTTAGACATAAATCCAACAGCTTGCTCCTTCAATACAGGGGTATATGTCACTGATATAGATATATGGAGAAAACACAATATCACACAAAAACTTGAATACTGGCTCACTTTGAATACAAAGTAAGTTGTTTTTTTATTTATGTAAATGTGACAAGGTGAGAAAAATGAGCAGCCTGACTGGGACTCGAACCTGGGACCCTCGGAATACCGTACCGCAGCTCTACCGACTGAGCTATCCGGCTGCTTACACATCTTCTCCCCTAAATAGTGAACAGTTCTGAAACGTGACAGAAAGACAGATTTATTTTTATACATCTTTAACCTATAAACTGATGGAATTGAAAGTGATTAGTCACAGCATTGCCAGATTGCTAACCCTTGTCGGACCTGGCCATATACTGTGGGTAGCACAGATTTCTGATTTGATATTGAAATTCCTAAACTTTCACTTGACAGTTCCAAATTCAAAACTTTGGCAAAACATTACACAAATTTAAGGATGAAGGGGATTTCTTTGCTCTTAGATTTACTTAAAGGATAATGAAACTATTCTACTACCCTATTCTACACCTTCATATGTTGTTTAACCAATGAAGGAATTCACCTGAAACTTCACTCATGTCTTAAAGCTCAATAATGTCATGTCACTGTCAAAGACCATCACTTTATTATGTAATTTTACTTTAAGGGACTCCACTGAGGTTTTTTGACATAATGGGAATGGAAATATCTTTTTCAAGATTTATGTACCATTTTATGTATCGTTTATGTACCATTTCATGTACCAATATGTGTACTATTATGTGTACCATTTTATGTACCATTTTATGTATCATTATATCGTCACCTTAGTGCAATAACTGGATAACTGATATTAAATTCAGAAGCTTTAAGGTGAAGATATGTACCAATTTATGTACTAATATATGTACCATTATATGTATAATTTATGTACAATTTTATCTACCATTTATGTACCATTTTATATATCATTTCTGTACTATTATACCATTTATGTACTATTTTATGTACCAAATGAGAATAGTTTAGTCTGTTGTCCGACTTCCAGTTTCATATTATTCTAGTGATGAGAATGACAATGCTTTACTTTGTGGTACATGTGTTGTATTTCATAAACAATGTAAAGTTTTTGATCCAATTATCCTATAAACAATGTAAAGCATTTTACCAGCTAGTAACTATATTAATAAGACATAGAAGGTACTGTTGGCATTTTGCAGAGGTTTTTGAATAGTTCATATAGTGTTTGATGCAATGACATTGGCAGAAAACTTTATCTGCAGTAATTAATTAATCAATCATTACAATGTATATGAAAATCAAGTTTAAATATTGAGAAAATCAAATATATCACATAAAAATTACTTTAATTCCGAATAAGATGTAACTTGTGGGTTTGTACCTAATGAGAATAGTTCAGTTGATATTTTTGTGTCATTTTTATACACTTTTTATCATATCTTGGTACACCTGGAAAACTAACCTATTGTACTAAGTGGGCAGACAAAGATGTTACTATTTCATCATACTATTGCATTATTTTTATGTGTATTGTCAATAACATCATGTGGCGTCATTGCCGAGTGGTTAACATGCTGGACTAATAATCTAATTATTGCTAGCCGCATGGTTCATAACCTGGCATGGGCAAGTTGTTGTATCCATAAGCAAGAAACTTTATACTTATTGCTCAGTACTGGTTGGTTCCAGGAACAGATTTGAATGTGTATTTATAAGATTATAGCTTTCTACACCTTCAAACTATAATAAATTCTGTATAAACCTATAACATTATTATTTTTTATGCCCCCGGGCATATAGTGATTGAACCGTCCGTCCGTCCGTCTGTCCGTACGAGGTTAACCTAGAACAGCAAGTTGGATTTTTCTTAAGTTCTGCCTGTACCAATGGCTTCTAAGTTTACACACTTACTTATCAATACAAAGTACACGATCTGGGCAAGTTTCATAACTCTGGCTTTCATATTTACCAAGTTATTGCCCTTTTCAGCACTTAGAAAATGAATAATGGTTAACCTAAGACGGCAAGTTGGAAATATCTTAAGTTCTATCTATACTAATGGCTTTATAATTTCCACAGTTACTTATCAATACAAAGCACATGATATTGCCAAGTTATATAACTGTGTCATCCATATTTCCCAGTTATTTCCCTTTTTTCACTTTGAAAATAGGGCCTTGTCTGGTTAACCTATTTTGGCAAGTTGGATTTATCTTAAATTTCTCCTAATTGCTTAATTTCTTTACTGATATCTTTCATATTTAGTAGGTGGATACCTTGATGGTCCTCTAATTTTTTTTTAGAGTAAGCGGTCTTTAGGGTCAAGGTCAAGGTCACTGGTTTAAAAAATAAATATAAACCTTTTTGCTCATACAGCCTTTATTTTTCAGTTAATGTCTTAGTTTAATACAAACACCTCCTTCTTTGGGTGTAGTATGGGGTCATTTGGGTCAAGGTCAATGTTACCAATGTCAAGGTCACCAATGTTAAAAATTGATTTTTACATTTTTACAGGTGTATTGACCTTATTCTATAGACAGATGTTATTTATAATTGATAGAAACATAAACTTTGATGGAGTAAGTGGTCAGTTGGGTCAAGGTCACCAGTGCTAAAAATAGATTTTAACACATTTGCTCATACAGCCTGTATTAAGTGACAGATATATTTTATATTTGGTAGGAAGATAACTTGCATGGTATTCATCCTTTTGATTGGGGTAGGGATCAGTGGGTCAAGGTCACTTGTGCTAAAAATAGATTCTTACACTTTTGCCCATACAGCTTTTATTTATTGACAGTTGTATTTCATATTTGGTAGGAAGATAACTTGCATGGTATTCTTCCTTTGGATGGAGTAAGGGGTCAGTTGGGTCAAGGTCACAAGTGCTAAAATAGATTTTTACACTTTTGCCCATACAGCCTTTTTTTATTGACAGATGTATTTCATATTTGGTAGGAAGATAACTTACATGGTATTCTTCTTTTGGATAGAGTTAGGGGTCAGTTTGGTCAAGGTCACAAGTGCTCAAAATAGATTTTTACACTTTTGCCCATACAGCCTTTATTTAATGACAGATGTATTTCGTATTTGGTAGGAAGATAACTTGCATGAAGTTGAATATTTTTCAACTTCACAAGTCAGAGCAATGACTTGGCAACTTATATTTTTCACAATTACAAAATGCCATGACTTTGTCAAGCTATAAAACTTGTGTTTATAATTTTTTAGTGATTTTTCTGTCCATAACTGAGTGAATGGGTAAACATTTATGAAGTATTGCTACTGACAAGAATCTGAGCCGGAGGCATTTGTGTTTAACAAACATGTTCTTGTTTTAAATTCATTTTTAACTGGTATACATGCAACATGAAGGTTAGTATAGCAGAGTCAGTAATTAATAAAGTAAGATAACCTATCATCATATATATAAATACATGTATATTACACTTCTAGGGAGGAGGTATATGGCAGTGAAAGAGGGGGTGGGGGATCCCAACCACCTATGATGCTTGTCTTTCACAATAAATACACAAGTATGGACCCAATCTGGCATGTACGCTATCTAGGTAGGTTATAAACACAGTCAATATTATGTTCAGATCTCTGTTTACCTTTTGTTATATGGCTTATATTTATTATATGTTTGCTGCCCTTTAAGTTGGATTCTCATTGCCCAATGGTTAAAATTGTTGACTTTGAGTGACATGCCACTCACAGCTGTGGGTTAGAATCTTGCCAGGGACTTTGGATTCTTTTATACAATAAAGCTATCCAGCTAGCTTATAACATATCAGTTGCTCTACTCAGGAGCCCACTTGTGCCTGAGATAATACGTGAAGCAGCGGCTGAGGTGTTCCTCCATCAGTAAAATTTTTGAATTTAATTGTCATATGACCATTAAAGTGTTGGTGTGACTATAAACCAAACGAAAAATTAAAACACAACTGCTCTGTATTTAGGAAATAGATATCAATTCTGAGTGCATTGTTGTAGAATAATGCACGGTTTGAGTTCAAATGCGTAGTAATATAATCACGAAGGCCGATAGGCCTGAGTGGTTAATTACAAAGCACTTGAACGAAAAACATGCATTATTATACAATAATGCACGAAGAATTAATATCTGTTTCCATTCTAACACGTTATGAAAAAATATAATTATTATTATAAAGTTGGACTTTATGTTTGGTTGATGAATTTGTTTTCGCCTCCGAGTTTCCAACAGAAACGTTCTTTAAAGGCTGTTCCAGTGGGTTGAAAAAAAACTGTCGTTAAATCTACCATGTGTAGAAACATTTTGAGAATAACGAATTTTGAAAACGTTGATAAAACTTTGTTTGTTCATTTTATTTCATTCTATAATTTTTCAAGCGAAAAACAAATTATAAAAAGTGAAATAAATGTAAAATTTAACTCTTTTGCGACATTAAAATAGCGTACTCGATTTAATTGTTATGCACGTGCTGTTTGGCGCTACATTGTGACATCACGTAAACAACACTTTAAACGTCTGTACAGAGTTAACGACTAAATTAAAGATATTGGTGTTCGGATTCATTTTCTTAGTTAGACCATTTTCTTTCATTCTAGATAGTTTTCACAACAAAATTAGGCAAAAAATTGTTTTTTATTTAAACAAAATGGCGCCCTCAATGTGAAAATTCACAGGGAGATAATAAGAACGGCGAGTGCTTTGTTGTAGAATAATGCACGCTTCGGGCCTTCTTTGTTTATATAGAAAAATTTCCAATAGTGTTAGAATTATTGTTTTGTCAACAGGCCAATGTTAACTGTACCTTTATTAGGCTCTTTTTACCATTTATAATTGTACTATGTTTTTTAACGTACTGTATATAAATATAATCTTCTTTTGACCATTTGTTTATTGGCCTCAATTTATACAATAATGTGAATGAACCTATGTTGGTAGTAAGGAAATCTAAGAATAATTTTATTTTGTTTCTCTTTATTTTAAGGGTGGACTAAAGGAACTAGTTATACATCAAGTTTTCTGAGTCAAGCCAAACTTTTACATTGGAATGGTCAGTTTAAACCGTGGGGACGAGTGTCACAGCATTCTGAAATCTGGAACAAATACTTCATTGAAGACCCATTAGGAAAATTTGCACCAATTAGGAAAAGTTGATTGCGAATGTAACTTAAATCAAAATGGACTACATTGAATGCCACTCTGATCGAAATTTATTACATTGAATGTCACTTTGATAAAAAAGATTACATTGAATGTCTTTTTCATTAAAATGGATTGCATTGAATGTCACTTTGATCAAAATGCATTACATTGAATGCCACTTTGATAAAATAAGATTACATTGAATGTCATTTTGATAAATAAGATTACATTGAATGCCTCTTTGATAAAAAGGATTACATTGAATGTCACTTTGATCAAAATTGATTACATTGAATGTCACTTTGATCAAAATGGATTACATTGAATATTGCTTTGATCAAAATAGATTACGATGAATGTCTTTTTGATAAAAATGAATTACATTTACACTTAAAGCTGTCTTGATAAACTTTTTAGTAAAATACTGCTGCTATATACATGTAATTTTGTAATTTTGGTTGTGTAATGTGGATATTGTAAGAATTGTAATATTATATAGTAAGAGGGCATAGTCCTAAAAGAGGTGTATTAAAGTTAGAGTATTTAGGAAGAAAATGTTTAAACTATTTCTTAGAATTCCTGGATTTTAACACTAAATGAAACTTTTTTTTGCAAGCATAACAAAACAGAATTTTAAAAAAATGTTACAGTGATATTGGTAGCTGAATTTTAGGGGATCAGGTTTATGAGCACTTAACAATTGCTTTCTTTTTAATTAATTAGAGACAAGAAAATAGAGAAAGTTTATTTCATGCTCATAGGATTTTTTAAATTAAAAGTTGTATGTTTAACTACCAAGATTAATTTTGTTCTTCCATCACTTACTCTTGTTACTGGTTTAAAGTTTTTGTGACGGTATTAAAGTTTTTGTAACTGGTTTAAAGTTTTTGTGACTGGTTGAAAGTTTTTTTTACCATGTCTTAGATTGTCACCCAGAAATAATTGAAACCCTGCTTAATTTTGGTTTTTACTTCATGTTTATAGAACAAAATTGTGTTAGTTTGAATTTTGATTGTTGTCTAACCCTCTTTTATTTATATCTGAAAAAATTATATGTTAAGGTAACTAAAGATTTTTACATTTTATTCTGTATTTGATGTTGGTTTGACATCATTATATAGAACTGTATTTTATAATATATAAAATAGTTCTGCTTCATTAATAGCAGTGAAGATATGTGCCAAATTTATTGCATATATATACCTAATGTTTCAATTCTTTCCGATAGGAAATAATTAAAAATTTAATGTAAATGTTTTTTTTACATAAATTTACCATGCTAAATGTTTTTGTCCATAATTTACCATGCTAACATTTTTGTGTTCAATAGTTATGCTATCATGCTAATTTGGGTTTTTGCCTATATAATTTACTGTGCAATTTTTTCGTTTATATAACCTAGCATGCTAAATGTTTTTTTATTATATAACCCATCATGCTAATATCTTATACACTACTGAATATTGTTTATACATAAGCTTTAAAGGCACATTAAGTTTCAAAAATGAACACATTTTTTCCTGTGTAGATGATATATTCATAATGGATTTTGATCATTCTATAAGATTGTCAATTGAGGAAAGCTGCATTGCTATGGAATAATTTGTTATCGAGTTTGTAAAATAAGTAGTTTTTTGTATTCCATTCATGAAAAAAACTAAATCTCTATAATTTTACTTATGGCGTAAAAGTATAAGAGATATGACCTGTATGACCAACAAGCACTGTATCTGAAACTGATACAGGACATCAGAACTAAAAATGCTTTTAGAGAGAGATAAAAAAAGAAACTTTAGGGACTTAATGGGCCTATGAATATGTAGTATGTTACATGTTGTTCTGATTTGAAATTTCTTTTTATGTCTTATATATTTTGTGTTATTTTTTCAATTATTTATTTAAGATTAATCAAAATCATGTCATTATCCTGCCAAAAATTGTTTTCATAACATGTTGTATAATTATCATATTGACATTTTTATCATCCCTACAAAATACCATGTGTTTCAGGTTTGTTTTAGTTTCCTAACTCAGATTTGATTAAGTTTCCTAACATTAAGGACGTTTTCGGGAAGTTTTTATGTAGACATATATGCAAAATTAAAACTGTTCAATAGAATTTCTTTAAAATTGGCATGTTGTTAGATATGATAACAGTTTTCATTTTGCCTATATGTCTATATGAAAACTTCCGAAAACGTCCTTAAAAGAACTACAAATGTATTTTATGGTATGCACTTCTGCTGTGTTAAGTATTGACCTTCCTGTCGAAATGTGTTTATTCTTTGCATGAAAGATGAATGTTAATTGACATAAATGCATGATAAGGGTGGGAGAAAGGCGGGGGGTCAAAACTACAAAATCACTAACATTAGGAAGACAAGATCCATCACAAATTCGAGTAGAACCCTTCACAATTTCAAAAATGTTGGCTTCACAACTAAAAGAAATGCCAGTGTAGCAATAAAAAATCCTTTACAATTTGATGAAATCAGAGCTATTTCAACATTTTATGCAGAAATATTTCAAGTTAGTCAAGTAAAGAAAAATATATAATAAATGATTTTGGGCAAGTTGTTATGTCTAGTTGAATCAGAACACTCAATAGTTAGATTTTTACATGGTAATTTAATTATCATTTAACCCTTACCTGCTAAATATCTGAAATGAAATTGGAAATTTTTCAATCTGGACCTAAACCATTTATCAATTTTAGGGACATTTCAAAACAAGTATTAACTTCATTCCTTAATTTAATGAAAATTTCAAAACAAGTATTAACTCCATCAGTTTTAGGGAAATTTCAAAATAAGTATTAACTCAATTTATTAGATTTTGTGAAATTTCAAAACAAGTATTGTCTGCATTCATTAATTTTAGGGAAATTTCAAAACAAGTATTAACTCCATTCATCAATTTTAGGGAAATTTAAAAACCAGTAATGACTGCATAGCGAACAGTGTAGACCATGATAAGCAGGCTATTATTTACACGTTTTTTGATACTATATCTTTTTGTATGTTTTAATACATTGTAATATTATACATTTATTATTTTCATGATGCTGTACATACTTCTATATGTATGCAGTAACAGAAGTCTGTGTGTGTAGTTATGTAATAAACTCTAGTCAGCTTATGTATGTTATATGTGCAATTTTTATGTCCGCTTTTTATATGCCCAAAAGAATTTCGGGCATATTATGTTATACCCCCTGGTGTCCGTCCGTCCGTCAGTCCGTAAGCAATTCGGTTTCCAGAGCATAATGTAAGTTCCATTTGGCCTTCATAGGATGATTTTCCATATTGGGTAGAAGACCCCTATTGATTTTGGGGTCATAAAGTCAAAGGTCATGGTCACTATTACATTCAAACTGAAAACAGTTCCCGCTCAAAAACTTAAGTATTAATCAACCTACAGCTGTAAAATTTTATAGGATGAACAGCCAAGTCCAATACATGACCCCTATTGATTTTAGAGTCATTAGGTCAAAGGTCAGGGCCAGAAGGATTTTTACATTGAACATTGTGGTTCCGAACCATAACTTAAGTTTCATTTGGCCCACAGTGTTCAAACTTCATAGGATAATTGTCAATATTGGGTAGAAGACCCTTATTGATTTGGAGGTCACAAGGTCAATGGTCAAGGTCACTGTTACCTTAAAACAGAGGTAATACTTTATTTAATTCCCATGTCTTACAAATGCTTCATCCTTACTAAAAAAACATTTCGGGCATATAATGCTCCGCCTAGCGGTGCTCTTGATTGTTTTTTAGGTGATTAAATGGGTTTAAATGCTCCAGCAGATGAGGAGGTTTTGACCCTAGCTTTAAGTTTTTAACACCTGAAGTTACCTGAAAGCATCTTGCCTGTTTTGGCACCAAATAACCTAAATTGTGATTGTGTGCCATAAAATCACTAAAACTAAAATGCCCACTTTTTTTCTTAACTTTTACATTTGTAGGTCTATTGTATTCACAACTGTTGTAGAATCTTTGGGTAACACAGTTGGGTTAATATTTAATCTTATTAACCACTGAATATATTCATTTGAAACTTCACATATATCTGGTTGGATCACTGTTGTAGATTAATGTTCAGTACCCATATCTCATTGATTTTTAGCTTGACTATTCGCAGAATAATCGAGCTAATGCAGTCACCCATTTGTCGGCGTCGGCATCCCTGTGGTTAAGTTTTTGCATGTAAGCTGGTATCTCCATAACTACTGAAGGGAATGGATTGAAACTTCACACACTTGTTCTCTGTGATTATCTTAGATGATTGGCACAAGTCCCATAACTTTGATTTGCTTTTTTGCATAATAATGCCCCTTTTTCGACTTAGAAATTCTAGGAAAATTTTTGCTTGTAAGCTGGCATCGCCATAACTACTGAAGGGTTTGTACCTTTTTGGACAATTTTATGTATTCATATAGGTACGCATTATTATACTCAATGAAACACCCTTGTGACAACTTTTCGAATAGTCCTCAGACAGTTCTTGTTTATAAATTATAGCCAACTGAAATGAGAATACTCCTGATTAACCTATCACTTAAAACTTCTCTCTCCACAAACACAAAAGATATACTTATGTATCTAGGGTTAGCTTGTGATTGTATCTATCATTCTGTCATATATCTTAATTATACACATACGTTCAATTAGAAAAATTCTTGGATATGGTTTTGCATATTAAGTCAAGGTCTATGCCTATAAAAAGTAGCATTGAAATGTCTGTTTGTGTTCATAAAATCTTGCATGATTTGTATTTTCCTGTTAAGCAATGATAATACATGATCGAGTTTTGACATGTTTTTAATGTGTTGAAAGTATTTGAATTATGTCAGAATTCCATTACAATTTATCAGAATTACATATAGTAGGTTAAAATAACCATTACTAATATTGTAAATACATGGTGATTAAAATAATAAATGAAGTTATAATTTACATAAAACATGAAGAACATGAAGTTTTTGATTGATATTCGATATTTATACATTTCTGAAACTATTAGTATGTCTTTAAATTATACATGTTTTTTGCTAAGTTTGACTTTTAAAAATATATTTTTGATTTCTTTTTCTACCTGTATTTACAAATTGCCAATTTTACTTTATAGATTAACATGTGCATGTGTATATTACCCATGTTTCAGTTTTGGTGCTAGAAATGTTGTTATTGTTGATGGATACTAAATATACATGTAGATACAATAACTAAAATAAAATGTTTCATTTGAAATTAAATTAGACATTGTTTAAAAAATACATTTCATTTTTTATTCAGCTTCATAAAAAACAACAACACGCAACTGAGAGGGTGCAGAGTTTTATTCATATTCAATTTTAGTTACTCATGATCCATCAATATCATCATTACAAGACTCATGTTTTATAAAAAGTAGCATAATAAACAACTATTTATATGTGATATAAATAATTAACCATCTTCAATGTAAATACAGACACGTTTATCATATTTTTCATCAACATATAGTGTAAAAATCACCTAAAAGATAACGCATGAAAAGTTTGTCATTTTTTTTTTTGATAACTGCTTTTATAATATTAATAAAAAATATGAAACTCATTCATACAACTGTGTTCCTTTTACATCTATATTTCAAAATGGTGATTCCTATGTGGTAACTTAGTGTATTAATGTAAAAGATTATGGTAAGACCTTTCATGGAATTATAATGCCTAGAGCTTAGATTTTCGGCATGTAGTATTGCCTAGTTGACCTCTGCGAAAGGTTTATAAAATATATCCCCTGGTGTCAAAAATGACTCCGCCCTTTAGGGATAGACCTTTACTGGAAGGCCCATTTAAATCTTCTACTCAGAAACTAAATATCCTACAGCTTGGATATTTGGCATGTGAACATATTTGAATGTGCCTAGAGAACCTCTGCAAAAGTTGCATAGATTATGGCTAAAAAATGTGTCCTGACCCAAGGTCACATTTGTTATAGTTAAATTATAAACTCATTTGTGGCATGTAAAATTTAATGGTGAACCTTGAATCATGGTCTTGAATTTTGATGGATTTCAACAAAATGAATTCAGAAAAAATATGTTATTTCATTGTAATTTATCTACCTCCATAATTTTATTATATACTCATGGTATAAGATGATTGAACGGGTCCTTTAAGAGACTAAAATTGGTGCCCTAGTGCTGTGGCTTAGAGCAACCACATTAGCGTTATAAAACATAACGTTGTGCAAGGCCAAACGTCCCGTACCCCCGACCCCAATGTCTTGTCAGGTATCAGGGCTGTTAGTCACACTTTATTTTGTTATTTCATAAAATGCGATAAAATTAAGAACAGTTTAGATGTGAGAGTTCCATTCTGTTTTAGCACCCAAAAGGCCATAAAAGTATTCATTTCTTATAGACTTATCTTTCATTGCTGGTTCTTAATGTACCCCACAGTGTTTTTAATAGTGAACCCTACTCCTTTCCAAAATTTCCCAATGCAAATTCTTTATTACCTTTAAAACCATTATAATATACACTTTAAATATAAGACAGCGCGTTAATTTTATATAAGTTACAGTTACAAAGTCCATTTTGTTAATGAATGCCTTTTACAACATATCATCATTTCCAAAATAAAAGTAAAAATACTTAGATATTTAAATTTACTGCCTTACTCAGTTAATATTTTCAAGATTAGGTATGCACCACCCCTTAATATTCATGTTAATTTCTGTGAGAATTATAAGTGTTTTGTGAAGTACAAACAGTATACAAAAAGCCGTTTAATGCACCAATAACGCATTCTACATGTATATGTCCAAATGTGTAGAAGTTGCTTTTAAGAAACGTGGTACAAATTTATGTACGTTTTTCATCCAACTTGTTGAGTACATATTATAGTATTATATATGGATAATGAATACGTATATTCTAAAACTCATTAACTGTTTTTTAAGATTTCACTTTGAGTAAAGCATATTTCCAATTTTGTCTTTTATATCTATCAAATGCTCACCAGTCCTGTATGACAAAATGTCGGACTCTCACCAGTTCATATTGGATGCAGAATATTAAACTTTTTGTTTTTTAGTTGAAGTTTCAATTTTCGTTACTTTTTCGGTCACATTATCTTTCTTTTCAGTTACAGGATGTGCATGAGTGTGATCGTGGTGATGGTGGTGGTGATGATGATGATGATCATGGTCCGCCCCCATATGATCATGGCCCGCCCCTTTTGTATCTTGCGACGTTTTAATTGGTATACCAAGGTTCTGTTTCAGAAGCTGTAATTGGCGGATATATTGTAACCATCTGAACCACGCGGCAGTAGGCGTATATCTTCCACTGAAACCGTTTTCTGATAAAAAGAAGACAAAAAACATTCAGAAAATTTAGTTATGAGTAAAATCGCTGGATCGTTACGCTGTTATTATTGTGTAACATAAATGTCTGTTTAATGTGTTTTATTTCAAACACTTTTTTGCAACAGTTCTTTCAGTATAGGGACTTTGTGCTGTCTTGGAACCAATCTAGCGCGGAATAAAAAATTGGACTATGAATTCTGAACATCAATTTCTTTAAACTGTCAGACTCCTTAATAAAAACCATTGAACTACAAACTTCAAGTCACTATTTACTAGTAGATAGGTTACTCCAAACATTCGATACCATTTTTGTACTTATACGTGTTTTAGTTGGAACAGAATATTTTTATACCATAAAATTTAGATTTACTAGCTTAAATTTTAGACAAAAGAAACAAATACCATCGCATTTATATGAATCAGTAGAGTTGGTTTCCTCATTATGATCACGTGACGTGATATTTTGTCTTAAAAGAGAAATTATAACCTACCTGATTGTGCCTCATAGCCCTCTGGTATCAGTCTTTGGGACCGTATATCTGTCCAGTATGTCGCGTAGTCTAACACAACAGTTGCTCTGAAAAGTTAAAATAATTGAAATTCTTACACAACGGACGTAATGTGAATTGTATAGTTTTCACTAGCGCTGTGATATAAATAAATAGAGTATATTAAGTGAGTTTATTAAGTTCAATATTGAATTTATTGAACGAGTTGAATAAAATTATATTATGCGAGCCTATATTGCTCTTGTAGTGCAGGCCTAACGCTAATTGCATAACGCAAATGATGTCACGTCAAAATATATACACGGCTGTGCTATACCATTTTTACAGAGTCGAAAAAGCGTCATGGGTATGTGACAATTATGTATGTGTTATTTTCTTTTTACTACATTGATTAAAAGAAAGTCAAACATTCTCCCGATTGTGTCATTGCGGGAACTGCGTATTGCTGCTTTCATACGGAGAATGTAAAATAGAAGAAGAATTCAGCTTTACAGCCGGTACTGTTATGTTCGTTTTGCACATGTAAGACAATCTCTTAGAATGTGTTTTTGTAGACATCTGACGACAGATTTGAAATACTTACCCATGTCGGATTCATTCAAGTTTTATTTACTAACCAAGATATAGCCTATACGTAAAATGACCAACTAAAAACCGCTTACAGGAATTGAATTTCTCCGGGATTATATTCTACTGGTGCGACCCATGTTACTGAAACAACCTGCTTTTCCTTATTGTTCGAATGTGTGATCCCCGTTGTTTCTGTTGTTCCAAATGATTGACAAACAGACGGCCGCTCGTCGGCGGTTGAATTCTCAAAACTGCCAAATGGTCGTCGCCGCAAATCTCTCAAATGTATCCCTGCCTGTACTGCCTGTACAAAAAATCCACGGAATGGTTTTGAAGGATCGTTTGTTTGAAGTTTTACTGTAAATTCAAAGTATAGACATTAAGCGCATGAAAATCTATCTTTGTTAAAGTCTTTGTCTCTGTCTCTAAAGTATTTGTTAAGTATAATTTTGCACCGAATTAAAACATGCTTGATATGACATATAAAAGCACTTATAAATTTATTCGCCAGGTGGATCAAGTCTTAGAAGATTATGAAACAGATTTGAAATAATTACAATTTTTGTAATAATTATTCCATTTCCCATGACATCAAAATCAGTTTATACTTGGACCTTGTTTACCGGGAAAATACTAAAGAAAAATATCTATCTGTGTGCTCGAGTAATTTTGAAGTTATTTCCGAAATTCTAATCGAGAAAACGTATGTATACATGAACAAATATAATTAAAAGTAGAATATTGAACTCAGAATGGTCAATGTGTAAGAAATGCATAAAATCTGCCTACCTATTACCCTTTGCCCCGGTCTGTATCTTGTAACATCCGTGTCGGCAGAGTATGAGTTTGTCAGCATATCTTCTGGCATGATAATCCCTTCATGTGTTCCATTTATTCTTCGTGTATGAAACGTGGAAGGATCCTTGCACGAGAAATCTGGCGCACCGTGACTAAATGACGTCACTGGTGATATCACAACAAGACCGTAAATACAGAAACTTAAAAATGTTTTTCCTATTATTTTCATTCTTACTTTTTGCGCACAGTAATTATTGTACAAAAACGATTTGTCTAAAATTGATTGTGCTTCAAGTATCAGCAAAAATATGTTATGTAATCCACGTTAGAGTTATAAATCATATATGAAATTGTTTTTATCTTATTCCAAGTAAGATATAGATATATTCATGTCATCCGTATACAAAGTAAAACAATAAGAGACTAGAAATGATTGATTCAAACGACCGTATATAAACAGTTAAACACCAGTATAAGTATGAGATGTTTCTGACTAACAGATAAATTTTCACCTATCTGGACAGTTATATGTTTATATTGTATTGTAAAAAGGCCATATATATGATGGACAATCATGTTTCTGTCAAATACGACATGTCCGTGCAATTAGAGAAATCAATGACTTATGTATCAACAACATTAGTCCTCGTACAAATGCACTGCAATTAAATAAAGTAAGACAAAACAATAAAATAAATCTATTACATGTTATTCGGTGCTTGATATATCACTGAAATAAATAGAAGAAATTGAATGAATGTAAGTTCAATACTGAATTTATTGCACGAGTTGAATATAATTATATTATGCGAGCCTCTGGCAAGCATATTATTATTTTATTCAATGAGTGCAATAAATTCAGATTCAGTAATGAACCTACATGAATTTAATATTCTATTTATCACATACCCAATATTAAGACCGTTTAAAGTCAATTAAGAGTCATTTTTCATTGACGCGCCTATAGTATAACGCTATCATTTAGCGCGTCTTTACACTATGTTTGTATAAGGCTAATGACGTCACGTCAAAATATATGCACGTACGTGCAATACCATATTTACGGAGTCGCAAAATCGGCACGGGTGTGTGATAAAAACTGATAATTTCACTGCTTTAAACAGTGGAATTACCAATTTGATAATTTCACTGTTTTAAATATTTGAGCCCAGTGAAATACAAGCGTTCATAGTACTGGAAACCAACTTAAAGACCTGACGTCGTAAATGACGTCACGTTGTATTATTATTTGGCACCCTTTTTATTCACTACTAGTTTAAAATGTCTTTTTAAACGTTTCTTTGCATATAATAGACAGAAAATTTCTTTAGTTTAATGTAATATCGAAATATACATTATTTCACCTCGTGAACACCAAAAGTTCATATTTCACTCGTGGCTGCGCCACCCGTGAAATATACCTTTTGGTGCTCTCTCGGTGAAATATATAGAGGATATTCAAGTTTTTTCTATAAATACATGATTTATTTTCATCGAGTGGTATGAAAATAAATATTTCATGAGTGGCGGTAGTCACAAGTGAAATATGGTAATTTTCATGCCACAATTAAGATGAAAATAAATCATGTATTTATAGAAAAAACTTGAATTTTCTGTTTATTATATACATTTTTCTCTTTTTTGACATTAATTTTGAAAGACTTTCCCTTAAATTTTGTGTCCTGGCAGAATTTAAGAGAAAGTAGTCCGGCAAGACACCAGTGAAAATACGGAAAATATGTTTCACTCAAGTGAAAAATAAATTTTTACAGTGAAAATACGGAAATTGAAAATACGCATTTTATTTCATTTATGTTTCTCAATATTTCATTTATAAGTATATAATAAATTCCAATCATAGATCTAGACAAATTGAAATATCAAAGAGAATAATTTTAATTAAAAACATTTGATTTTTATTACATGCTTTGCAGCGGAAAGTAAATTAATTTTTGATAATTCTCACATTGAAATTATATTTGATAATTTTCTCTGTAGTTGGACTTTATTATATTTGAATGCGGATGAAAATAATATTTCATAACTAAATGGAATTATGAACATGTTTAAGATGTAACAAAGTTCGAGAAATTTTATAGAACTTTTAAACATTGGTCGCTTTTCAGTGGATAATCGTGAAGTTTATATAATTTTATATGCACGTCTTCTGCCCATTCATGAAGAAATCTTACATTTATGCTTGCTGTATTATAAATTCGTTATAAAGATCGTTGACCGGTTATATGACCCTATATAAATGATTGTTTGCAATATAACCCTCGCCTAGTGGCTCGGATTATATTTACAAATAGCCATATTACCTGTCAACAATCTTTATAACTAATAATATACTTATAAGTGAAATATTGAGAAATATTGATAAAATAAGATTAGTATTTTCATTTTCGGAATTTTCAGTCTAAAGAAATCATTTTTCACAGCATATTTTACGTATTTTCACTGGCACATGCCGGATTACTTTCTTCGTAATCCAGCCAAAACACAAAGTAATAGGAGAATTCTTTAGAAGTGTAAGTTCAAAAAAGAGAAAAAGTATATATGATAATCAGAAATTTCATTGACAGTTCTTTTCTAAAAATACAAGATCTATTTTCATCTTGTGATATGAAAATAATCATATTTGACTTGTGTGGAAATATTCATTTTCATACCACTCGATGAAAGTAGATACTGTATTTATAAAACAATGTGAATATCCTCTTCTTATTTGGGGGGGGGATGGGAGGTGGGGATTGAGACTGTATTACGGAATCTTTATCAGTTACATCATATGTAAATCGATGTAAATGTCCGTTCCTTAAATTCAAATAAATAAAAAAATAAAAAAGAGTTAAATATGTAAAAGTAATGAAGCATGGTTGTAAAAGAAAAAAATCGCAGAATGTGTAAGTAACATCTTACAATTATTTTAATATTAAGTACTAATATTCAATTCAATATTTTATTTGGCATTAAACTACAACAAATTATAGGTTAAGTGTAAGACATTTATAAATTGTTGCTAATACAATATAAAATGTTTCAGAGAAGTTATTAACAATATATCTTCATGTAGATCTAGCAATTAACAGTAAGGCATTTTTAACACATACAATCATGAAAATGTTTTCAGATGACGTCTTTATGTAGATCTCACAAAGCACAAAAATGTATACATCATTACATGCATGTACAATATAGAGTTTCTTATTTTAAGTGAAAAATTAAATATCATGTTGACAAATTCTACGTACTTTTTCATTTTTATGACATTTATTATATTTCCAGCTTGTTTATTATGCAGTAGTATATTTTTATCAGTAATCTTTACTGTTGCTTGTACCTATATTAAATTCCAAACGCTTGTGTATAAAGAGATATGTCTGTTGTAAAAATTGTGATATAGAATTTACCAACAATATGTTACACCCTTAGTACAGGCGTAAGTGGAATTTGATATTTAGAATAATAAAGAAACGAATTAAACCATCTATTTGCCGTTGTGTTCATACACCGCCATCTCTAATGCGCCAAGTTCTTGCCATCCTATGAAAATTATCGTAAAGATAGTGTACTTTATATGGGAAACAACCACAGCATTCTTGTTGTTTAAATGTAGTCATTAAATAGATATTAAAAATTTAAAGTTATCTTTCCTTATTTGTTTTTATTTTAGCAACAAAATGCAGTGAAAGGAAACATTGTATGCATATTATTTGTTCAGACGTCCTGTGTTTGTGTATTTTCGTAAGAAGGCGTACAGTGTACACATTCAACAAGATCTGTTTGAGGAGACAGTACGCTCGACTTATCAAATACTGGACGCAGGTATGGGTGACAAAACTATTGAGAAAATTCAAATATGATATAAAATTTTGTACCAGTATCAAGAAAGCACACAAAGTTCAGCATATTGCACCACATAGCAATTTTAACACTGATTGGTTTTATGTGAACACCGGACTTAAACAGGGTTGTTCTTTGTCACCTTTACTATTCAACCTGTATATTAATGATTTGGCCTTGAAATTGAAAGCCACAGGCAGTGGGGTTGATATTGATGGTGAAAACATACCAATCCTGTTATATGCCGATGATATTGTACTTGTAGCAGAAAGTGAGAATGATCTTCAAAGTATGTTAAATGTTCTTCATAATTGGCGTATTACAAACCATATGAATGTTCACCCACTAAAATCTAGCATTCTTCACTTTAGAAATCCATCTTTAACTTGTTCAGATTATGTATTTAAAATAGGAGATACAACTTTAAACTATGTTACACAGTACAAATATCTCAGTCTTGTTTTGGCCGAACACCTTGACTATTCTATCACAGCTAAAACTGTTGCTCAGGCTGCTCATAGAGCATTAGGAATGTTAAGTGCTAAAACTAGAGCTTTTGGAGGTATTCCTTATGAAGCATATACAAAAATGTACGAAGCTACTGTTGATCCAGTTATCACATACGCATCGTCTGTTTGATACTTTCTGTGCAGAATAGAGCTGCACGCTACTTTTTGAATGTTGGAAGATATACTCCAAATGCAGAAGTCTGTGGAGATATTGGTTGAAAACCTATAATATATTTTTGTTGGAAAACCGTTTTAGCAAATTGGAGTAAATTAAGTAATATGAATATAGGGAGGTTAAATAAACAAATATTTTATGGGCAAGAAATAAGTCAGGTAACAGATGTAAGAATTGGAATTTTAAAGTCTGTACGTTGTTTAAGAAGTACAATTTGGAACGATTTTGCAATGTTGAAAATCCGATACAAAAACAAGAGTTGTTTAATTAATATTATATTGCCTAAAGTACTGGAAGATAACATTCATAATTGGAACTGTACTGTTAATCAAGAATCAGGTCGAAAGGCTCTGATAGAAACAAATTAAGATTATATAAAACATTCAAGAATAAATTTGAAACTGAAAATTGTTGTAAGTTAATTTTGAACAGGTCACACAGGGTGCATTAGCTAAATTTCGCAGTGGCACAGCTCCAATCGGTATAGAGTTAGAACGCTACAATGGTTTGCCAGTGGAACAACGATTGTGCTCCCACTGTCAAACTATTGTAGAGGATGAAAAGCATGTATTATTATATTGCCCTCTATATGATTCAATTCGTAACGACTTGATTCGAGAATCACAAATGCTAAACGATGGTTTTGATGCCCTCTCAGACATTGATAAAGTAGGATATATTCTCTCAAATGCAGACGTTGTATTTTTAACTGCCAAAACCTGTTTTAACATATTGAATAGAAGAAAACTAATTTTATATAATTGACATTATTTTAAATAACTTTTATGTGTTCTTAGATATACATGTACTATCTAGAAAATCCATTTGCTAATAATCTTCTTAACCGGATTTTGATTAAATTTAACCACATTATAATTTCTATATAGAATATTTGAGGTCCTTGCAACCTCAGTATTTGAATTTACTTCAATAGATTCATTTTATCATATGTTTACAACTCTGGTTTAAATTAGCAAGAGTATTTTAGATCTTTAGAATTTTACATGTAAATAGTGAGTCAACCTTTAGTCTCTTGTAAATCTTATAGATTGGTTATGTGCATTTATATTGTATTTTATATGTATTTCAACTGTGTACATTGATGAGACTGTAATAAACTAATAATAATAAAGCAAACATGTGACCGTGCCAATAAAACAGTGAAAAAAATTGTTATGCTCTCGTGGAAAAGTCGATACGAGCAAAAGATACGCCAAAATTCTAACAACGTTTTAAATACATTTGCTAGCGTTACGATCATTGTCATACATAGTGATGATAGAAACAATCATTTTAAGTCTAATGTGCATACCATTTGTGCCAGCAAGGAAGAAACAAAATTCCAAGGTCAAAATGGCGATAATTCTGGAAATGCAGGTCCTGGACACATATGGTATAGCTGTTGGTATAGAACATAACTTCAGAAATATTGACGCTAAAATCTAGTCGCAAAATTATGTTGAGATGACAAGAAATATCAATTCGAAGTATGAAGTAGATCCCGTAAGAAATATAGAGGCTATAGTACAAATCACATTAAAAAAAATCTAAATTCAAGGAAAATATTTCTGCTTAAGTTATTAAACTTGTCACACATGATGTATTTGAGGAGCATTCTTATATTTGAAGTAGATTGCATATCTGTAATTAAGAAATTAGAATAAAAGTAACATTTTCGGGACAATACTAAGTTAAAAGAGGAGATAATTCTGAAAATATTCCAGCTAGAGTTACGAACAATGCTACATTTGATGATAAAAACATTTATTTTGTTTGGAGATGATACCTTAGGAAAAAAGAAGTTAAAATAAAAACTATAAAACCATAAACAAACGCGGATGTTGTAGTGGGTAGGACCGCTCACCACATACTTAGTATAGTCAAACTAAAATAACTGCAAGTAGCATGTTTCACATTATAATATTTCCGTGCCAGATGTGATCACTATTTCAACACGTGCATTTTGCAAGTGTTACTGAATTTATATTTCAACACTTGAAAATCAACGCAGACGTTTCAATTTGAAACACTTGTACTTTAAAATATTTTGTCTCTGAACAGTAAGACACTTCACATAATGAGCCGTGCAGTCAGACACGTACAATACGATGATGAGTTTCTTTCGTTTGAAATCGAAATTGCACCCGAATATATGCGTTTAGTGTATAGCAGGGTCATCGAATAATTTGAATTGATTATATTTTATATAAAAATGTGTTCTAGTGTAAGAACAGTGTAACAAAAAGTGTTTTACTTTGACAAGTAGAGCACATTTTATTCAGAAAATTACTTTTTAACTTTGTGAACGCAAGAATTTCATTTCAAAACAAGTGACGCGTTTTGAATTGATCGTGTGCAAAAGTATAACAGCAATGTGTTGATATTTGAAACGCCTTTTATGAGTGTGAGACACTTTAGATTGGTACATTTACATTTGAGAACAGATAGCAAATTATTTATATCAAAGTAGTTCTTTCCTGTGACATCAAGTATATTAAGTATAAAGCAAATTAGCAAAATTCCCAAACGCCTATAGGTTTATATGCTTATGTTATTAAAGTGGATTTGGAGACAATGGGCAATGAAAAACAACAATAATAATGTTCTAATCTTTTTAGCAAATAATTTTGCCCTAGTTTTAAATGATTTAGTATGAACGTTTTTTATGTGATGAGTTAAATGTTTGGTTTCTAGAACACTTTATTATCTTCTATTATATAAATAACTTATATTCGATTATGTATCCTACACTTACCATACCAACAACATTTATATATACATGTACTTTAAAAAAGTGGAGACATCAAGTAATAGGGGATCTTCTCCACGGCAATATAAGACTTAACAATTTGGCTGTCATAAAATAGTCGATGTTTGGAACGGCGATTAGTCATGTAAGTATATAAAGTCTAAGAAATTTGGTAAAAAATCACCATACTCTGGAGACAACCGTTTAAACATTATTTCTCTGATACTGTTTCAGAGTCGGTTTTGTACAACCTTTGAACTTCTTTTTTGCACAAAATGAGGACCAAAACCCTAACCCAAACAAAATGTCCGGGGTATTTCCGCATGGCGTGGTCATTTTTTTGGACCGGCGTTTTGTTCGTTCTCTACCTAAAGTGAATACATTTTCGTAAAAACATCATTTTCTACAGTCAACTGTTTAAACACCATTTGTCTGATTCCGTTTGTACAATTTTGGAGGGTCTTCTTTGCACAAATTGACGACCAATCCCCTAACTCAATTAATATGACCAGGAGTTTTCCGCATGACATGGCCATTTTTTTGGACCGGCGATTCGTTCTTTAGCTATATAAAGTGCAATGTGGAAAAGTTTTCGAAAAAAAAAACACATAACATTCTACTGCCAACTGCTTAAACACCATTTCTCTGATTCCATTGCGGATTGGTTTTTGTACAACTTTGGAGGGCCTTATTTGCACAAAATGAAGACAAACCCTAACTCAAAAGATATGTCCAGGAGATTTCCGCGTGACATGGAAGATTTGTTCTTTGTCTATATAAATGTTCGTTAAAAACACCATATTCTACAGTCAACTGTTTAAACACCATTGGTATGACGTCGTTGGTGATTCGTTTTTGTACAACTTTGGTGGGCCTTATTTGCAAAAAATAAAGAACATTGCCCTAACCTGAAAGATATGTCCAGGAGATTTCCGCGTGGCATGGTCATTTTTTGGACCCGCGATTTGTTCTTTGTCTATATAAATGTTCTTTAATAACACCATATTATACAGCCAACCGTTTAAACACCATTCGTCTGATTCCGATGTGGATTCGTTTTTGTTCAACTTAATTTGGAGCGTGTTCTTTGCAAAAAACCGAAGACCAACGCTTTTATTAACACTTTATGTCCGGTAGATTTCCGCGTGGCATGGCCATTTTTTGGACCTTCATAAATTGTGTTTTTTTTCGTAAAAAAACTGATTCCGTTGCGGATTCATTTTTGTACAACCTGCGAAGGTTTTGTTTTGCACCATATGAGGACTAAAGTCCTAATCCAAACAATATGTCTTGGAGATATCCGCATGGCTTGGTCGTTTTTTTTTTGACCGGCGATTTGCTTCTTTATAACAGTAGACCAACTGAAAACTTGCAAAGCCACACAATGGAGACAAAAACCCCTGAAATTGTGTTTTTCATTGTTTTAATCGATCACAAATTCATAGGAATGTTATTATTAAGTCATGTTAGCGCTTTAGAGCACATTGGCGCCAAGCACAGTTAGCAATTGTAAAATGAACGTACATGTATAATCCTCCTGGTGAATCCGGTCAAATTTGTCAAAAAGTTGCAAGCTCGACTTTCAGTTAAACCCTGACCTCTTGTTATACTACAGTGACCTCACATAATAAATGTGTAAATTTAATGGGAAGGCTTTTGTCAACTACATCATTTTTAGATGGAGGGGATGGGGGATTTACTTGCATGCTGTTCACAAATAGATCCCCGGCGTTTGCACTAATCAAATATAGTTATATAGCTCTCTTAAAAAAATAAATGCGTACAGTACAGCTAAATCCCCATTGACGTTAATATATCGCGTAACGTTGGAATGTGACAGCAACGAAGGTATTGCGCATGTGTTTAATTTTCAAGATTATTCCTGATAATGATAACCTGGGTTTTCTATAGATATATTGCAACATTGAGCTGCATGGAGGTCAAAAGGCTTAAAAACAAAACATTGAAATTCTTACATTGATTAAGTGAAGCACTTAAAATGGAATCATAGGGATACTAAAATATGCTAAGAATATTAAATTGAAATTCAATTCTTTTTGTGCGATTCTTAGTCAAATTTGAGTGAAAGGCATGAATAATTTTGCACATTACAAATAGTAAAATGGAAATATTTATAGTTACGTCATGTCAAAAGTTTCAGCGGAATCCCTTATGTTTTACCATAGGGCGTATATTAAGAGGTTAA